ATCATCACACCACCATTATCATCACCATCACCACCACCATTATCATCACCATCACCACCACCATCATCATCATCATCATCATCATCATCACCTCTCCAGTGGCCATCTGTATAATGACGCAGCCGAAACTCCAGATGTCAGCGCCCTTGCCGTAACCCCGTGACCCCGTTATCACCTCAGGCGCCATGAAGGCTGTCACGATGATGATGATGATGACGATGATAGTTGTGATGACGATGATGATAATGATGCTGGATGTGATGGTGATGCACGTAGCGATGATTATGATGATAATTACGCTTGTACATTTGCATAGCAGAAAAGACGGTTAAAAAATCTATCAATTCGCTAATCATTCAATCGACCGATCTACCACCACAATCATCACTACTATCACATGATATCATCACCATTAACCATCACCAATCAGCGCAATCACCCTCCCACTCATGATATCACCACCCCCCAACGCACCGGGCGTCCCGATCAGCCCCATGAGTTCCCCACCCATGGTGGTGTTCGCGTACTTGAGTCGGACTGAGCAGCCGAAGTCTCCGAGCTTAATGGAGTTGTTTGGCATGAGGAAGATGTTGGCACCTTATCAATTCAATCGTGTTATCATTCGTTATTATTTTGTGTACCGGCTCGAGATCATGTTGCCTGCTTGCCTCGTTTCAAGTGATAAATTATGTTCGGTCTGTCTCAGAAGCAACACTACAACTATTTTCGATTATCAACACAGCTACTATTGTTGTTATCATTATTATTATTATTATTATAGTTATTATTAAAATAATTGTAAACCCGGAAATCATCGATTTTATTATTATCAGAAGTAGTAATACTATAATATAGTTCGCACAATTATTACTTATAAATCTAATCAATTTTAGCAATTTAGATATTTGTTAAGACACGAAAACATCATCATATAATTATATTATAATGATTCAACACGTTGACAAATCGCCACCATGGACCCACCACGGACCCACCTTTGACATCTCGGTGTACGATCTTGTGGTCGTGCAGCACAAATATGGCCTGCAGGATCTGGTAGGAGTAGTTCTTGATCTGACCTTCGGACAGCTTCATCTTGGAGAGCTCCTCCAGAGTGCCATTGTTGCACAACTCCATGAAGATCAGCATGCCGTCCTGTGCGCGCGTGCGTGTGCGTGCATGTGAATGTGTGTGCGCGCGTGTAAGTGTGTGTGTGTGCGTGTGTGTGTGTGCCTGCGTGTGAGTGTGTGTGCATGAAAATGTGTGCGTGTGTATGAATGTGTGTACATGAAAATGTGTGTGTGTGCGTGTGTTATTTGGTTATTTGACCAATCAGCCAATCGATCAACTAACTGACCAACCACTCAACAAGCAGATATCCTACCGACCTAATCGCATATTAACTACTGGCTCAATCAATCGATCAATCTTCGTTTTGCGTCCAGAGACCCGGTTTCCCGAGGTAGGACGTTGTTTTCTTTGCCATCAACTTTTTGCGCCAAATTAGACGATTGGTTGTATCCATTTCATTTAAATTTAGAGCTTTCATGTCTTGCTCGATTGTTTGCGACCAGGACTTCTTTGGACGGCCTTTGGGACGTGTGCCAGGTACTTCAACATCTGCAAGAGAAGTTATGGCACTGTTTCCACTTCGTTTGACATGACCAAACCACCGCAGACGGTGTTGCCGGCATTCGTCCTTTATATCATCTAAACCAGCACGACGCAGGATTTCGGTAGATTTGATGTGGTCCTTCAGACTAATTCGTTGCATCCATCGGAGCATTTTCATGTCGGTTCGTTGAAGTTGTTGTTCCAGTTTGGTTGTCATTGGCCATGTTTCTGCACCATATAACAACACCGGACGTATCACAGATTTATAAAGTCTTGATCGTAGTGGTAGTGGAGTGTCACGCCGCATCAATATAGAGGCAAGGAGATGCCATTTATTCCAGGCTGCACGTATGCGTGCTCGAACGGCAGCTTCAGCTGTTCCAGTACAATCCAGAACATCCCCTAGATATTGAAACGATGTGACTTTCTCTACCTTAATGGCTTCAAAAACAGTGCTATTTCGAATTTGTTGTTGTGGATTGATGCAAGCAGGACAAACAAAATTGGACACTTTAGATTAAGTACCAACTATTTTTGAACAACGTTTGTGACACCACTGGTTACACTGCTGACACTTGATTGAATTGTTACCTACACCAGCTTTACAAACTGAACAGGGCCATCGTCCAGTAGCTGTGGATTGGATGGGTTCACCAGTGTTCATTGCTTTGGTTTTGCTGATGTTGACTTTGAATCCATGATCGGCGAGTCTGGTGTTCCAATCTTCAAACATCTGTGCTGCATTCTGCTCAGACGTGGCTGTTAAAACAATATCATCAGCATATACTAGATTCCAAATGTCACCAGTGCGTATCGGTTTTGTGATTTCTTCCATCACAGTTATAAATAAAAGTGGACTGAAAATCGAGCCTTGGTGAACTCCAACGCCGATGTCAAATGCATCTGTTTCCAACCGTTGTGCTGACAAGATTCTTAGTATTCGTATACATTTCCATCACAAGTCGAACAAGATATTCTGGAATGAGTTTTCGTCGTAGACTCCACCTGATTGCTTCAAATGCTTTTTCAAGGTCTACAAAAATATGTGATAATTGTTGATGCTTTGCGAGGTACTTCTCTTGCAGTTGCCGAAGGATGTGAATTGCATCAATTGTTGATTTCCCCGCTAGAAAACCAAATTGATAATTTCCGATTGTGATGCACGACGTTAATCTTCTCTCAATGATTTTTTCGACAATTTTCAGAAAGTGTTCTAACAGTCGTATACCCCGATATAATGAACAGTTCAATGGATCACCTTTGCCTTTGTATAGCGGGACTGTCATGCTATAGTTCCATTCAGTCGGCATTGAGCAATTTCTCCAGATTTCACGGCAAAGTTGTAGTAACGTTTGGATACCTGCAGTACCAGATGCTTTGATAATGTCATTTGTGAGTCCAGAGGGCCCTGCTGCCTTTCCATCCTTCATAGCTTTTAGAGCTTCTGTAAGCTCCTCTATAGTGATGTCTGGAATCGGACCTTCGATGGGTGGAGCGTCAAAGTTAACATTGATGGGATTTTTTCGTTTAACAGACGGTTGAAGTATTCTCTCCACTGTAGCTTGATCTCATCTTGTTCAAGAACCATCTCATTTTTGTCGTTTTTGATACATGAGACACCAACTATGTCTTTTTTCGTACGCTTTGCTTGTTTTGCTATACGATACAGAGATTTCATTTGTTCACCTTTGCTTTTAGTGAGCCACTCTCTGCACTGATCTGTCCGAGCCAGTGCAACTTGACGTCTTGCATAGTTGTTCTTCTCACGGAAAATTTTATGGCTATCAACAGACTTTGATTTTTGCCATTGCTTGTATGCAACTTTCTTTTCAGCTATTGCATTTTGTACACTGTCATTCCACCACCAAGTGTCACGTTCATGCTGACGTTTTGTACCAGTTTTCCCACAAACTGTTGTTGCAGCGTTCATTAAAACGGTTTTGTATGTACTCCAATCTGTACTGGCTTGCGATTGGTGGTCTAACTGTGTGGCGACAATCTGTTGAGATTTTTCTCGATGAATATTGCTTTTCAGCTTCCACGTTTTGATTCTCCGAGGCATTTGTTTAGACTTATGTTTTGACAGTTCGACAACCAGGTCTGCCACAAGGAGTCTATGTTGGGCGACACATGATTCGCCAGGTATAACTTTGACGTTTTTGAATAGCCTTCGATGTTGTTGCTTGACAGCGAAGAAATCAATTTGCGTGGCTGATGGTCCAAAAAAAAAAAAAAATTTTTAATTTTTCGTTGTTGAAATTTTTCATTAAAACTTCTTTTTCGAATTTATTTGTATATATTTTGAATAATATTAAAACTATAATGATACTAATTAATAAATTGATAAACAATGCACTGACGATGACGGTTCAACGTCGAAATAGATCTATCTGCAATAATAATTTTAATAAAATGTTTGTTAATAAAGATAAAACTTCAGTTTTAAACAAATTCAATTTTGTTGGTAAAAATTTACTAAGACAAATTGAAAAATTCGAATACAAGTTGAGAAACACTAATAAATCGGTGGAATTTATTACATTATTTATATATATATATATATAACTATAACTATAATTATATAACTTTTATAAAATTTCTATATTTTAATTATTTTACTAAACATTTTATTTAAACTACATTATTTTATTTATATAATCTACATAAACTTTAGTTATTATGATATTTACAACAAGGTTAATTTATTTCACAATTTAATACATATTTTATTTTCTATATTTTCACATTTTACATTAGACACTTATTTTAATTAAATTATATGTTTAAACAATATTTAGGCTCTGAAGATGGCATTACGCCGAAACAGCGCTGTTAGCTTTATTCCAGTTTTAGATAAATATGAACTCAAACAATACCGCCTCGTCGAATGTCTTATAAAGAAGTTAATTAATGCAAAATGGGCAAACAATTTCAATGAAATTTGCATTTCTGAAAACCTCGTTCCTAAATATATATATATATATATATATATATATATATATATATAAATATATGTTTTTATACGTTAAAGAGGATGTGTATTGCTAGGTAGGTAGGTGGGTAGGTGCCTTGGTATGCCTGTGGTTGGGTATGCTACCGATAACATTCCAGGTTTTTACGAATGAATTAATTAATTATGCACAGTAGATGCCTACTAGGTTGATTATGATTAATTTATTAGTTAATTATACTTTCTCTCTTTCTCCTGATAAGTCTTTTTATCATCATCAACATCATTGTCGTCGTCATCATCACCATCGTTGTCGTCATCATCGTCTTCATCATCATCACACTATCATCATCATCATTGTCGTTTTCATCATCATCACCATCGTTATCATCATCATCATCATCATCATTGTCGTTATCATTAACATCACCATAATTGGCGTCCTCCTCATCATCATCATCATCATGGTCGTTATCATCATCATCATCTTCTGACAGGTTATTTGCTCAACTCCTGTTACTTTCATTACTTGGTTTCATCTCTGTCGTGTTAACACTCACACACACACTCACACAGACACACAACCACAAACACACACGCACTGCTCAGAACTGATGAGCACACAGCTGCACAATGCAGGGCCACCACCATCATTCACCACACACGCCACTGAACAACTGACAATAGCAGTAGCAACATGCATTGCTCTATCGTAATTAACGGCGAGAAATAAATACTACGGTATTACTATTATTTATATTATTTATTTTATTTATTTATTTAAACTTTTATTCAAGACCTCAGACCAGAAGCCTATATTAGGCTTGTGTGGTCAAAAACAAAAAATTACAATATACTATACTATACTATAAAAATAGTATTGGTAGTATTAATCACTAATTTTAACAGCATTTTTAACTGTAGATAAATAATAAAAATTCTCCAAACTTTATAACCATTAGTACCGCTTGCTAGCTACTGCATTTTAGACTACTTTTAAAATTTCACGTACGCAGAATCGCTTGAATTTCATCCCAGAATTGTCATTTTCATATCTGTGTTGTTATTACTGTTGCTACTCTCAACGTTACTATTGCGTCTGGTTTGTAATACTCTTATAATACTACTACTACTGCTGCTACTGCTACTACTACTACTACTCTTGCTGCTGCTGCTACTATTACTACTGCTACTATTACTACTACTGTTACTACTGCTGTTGCTACTACTAGTGCTACTACAGCTGCTGCAACTACTACAACTACTGTTACAGTTACTACTACTGCTACTACTACTACTACTGTTTCTACTACTACTACTACTGTTACTATTACTACTACTGCTACTACTACTACTGCTACTACTACATAAAATTGTTGTTGATAACAATACTAATGGTACTTCTGCAGCCAGCCCTACTAAATGTTTCACAATTGACATTTTCCTGTGTTTCTGTGATCGGTCAGTAGTTGTACCAACTTCATCAGCTCAGGGCCGCCGAGAGGGTATGTCAGCCAAGTCTAAAACTTGGGGCCCGGGCCCTCAAGGGGGCCCGGGACGGGCCCTAAAATGATTTTTTCTATCCAATTTTTTGAAAAAAAGTGGTTTCAAAGATTCGAAAAAATTACTTAGACGCGAAATATCACTTCAGTGAGAAATTAATTTTGTCTGAATGTATTGCACAAAAATATAAATTTTTCCGAATGTTCATAATCATTTTCTACATTCACATAAAAGAGTGATTATTTAATTTATTAAAATTTACTATGCAATGTGACGTACAACAGACGATACAAATCAGCATATTGTATTGTCTGTAAAAGTGAACCGACCAAGATTAAAATTGCGATATAACATTAATTTTTCCAGAATACGCTAAATATATAAAGCTGAACTTAATTGCAAAAGTGGATTAGGATTATGTCAACATTTTTAAGAAAAACTAATATAAATTATTAACATAAAAATTACACATGCAATTGCGTATTAAATGTAAATCCATCTCCATGGTAAAGTCGGTTTTTTCGGTGTTGTCATGGTGATGTCAATCGTTTATTTAATTTGTTTGTTTTTCAGTGTAGCGTTTTTTAACGGTTGCCTCAAAACAAGAGTGAATCAGAGAAATGAGCTATCAGCATAAATCAGGTGCTTCAAAAAGAAAGGAAAAAGAAAAACGAGAAACGTTAGCAAGAAAAAACCAAAAAACATGTGACAGTTTTTTTATGATTAATCAATCAAGTTCCAATTTTCACAACGAGTCTGAACCTGAAAAAATTGAAAATACTACATTGGTGGAAGAATCTCTTACCGTTATTTCTCCTGAAATTGTAACGTTTGATGTTGACGAAGGTGAAAACTCATCTGCGGCCAACAACTGCAACAAATCAACACTTTCAGTGTACGATATAGGAAAAGAAGAAAACACATTTCTTCAAACCAAAGACGTTCATGAAGCCGTCCTTAACGGTCCTCCAACCTTGCCTAAAAACTTTCCAGTAGACTTTTAAGGGAACTTTTTTCCTCCATCGGCGCTTGTTTGTAAATTGAAAAATGGAGAAGAGGTCAAAAGAAATTGGTTGGCATGGAGTAAAATCAAAAATGCAATTTATTGTTTTCCATGCCGCATATTTAGTAAATTGCCTTTGCCAAATAGGTCCATGTTAACATGTCCAGAAGGATTTAGTGGCAACAAAATCTCATGGAAGAGAATTCACGATAAACTCAACCCGCACGAAAATAGTTCTAACCACAAATTGTGCTATTTTGAGTGGAGAAGTTTAGAAAAATGCTTATTGAAGAATAAACCAGCTATTGATACTAACCTTACTGATATGATAACAAACGAAAAAGCTCGTTGGAGAGCTATCTTACAAAGGATTCTTCATGTAATTTTGTTTTTGGGTGAAAGAGGACTGCCCTTAAGGGGTGATTCGAATTTGGTTGGTAATCCTAGAAATGGAAATTTTTTGGGAATACTAGAACTTATAGCTCATTATGACCCTATATTAAATGATCATTTGATAAAGGTTAAACAATCACAAATGCAAAAAAAAACGGCTACCAGTTCACTACCTTTCCATGGAAATACAAAATGAGTTTATCGTGTGTTGTGCACAAAAAGTCACTCAGAAAATCGTGAACGAAATTAATGAGTCAAAATACTTTTCTACAATAGTTGATTCAACTCCAGACTCATCACACGTTGAACAAACCGTGTTTATCCTAAGATATGTGACTCCTTACAGTGAAGGGGAAGAAACTGTTTACAAAATCAACGAAAGATTTTTAAAATTTGTCGACTGCAGCAATAAAACTGGAGAAGCAATTGCAGATTTAATCAAATCAACGCTTAAAGAGCACAATCTTTTACTTGAAAATTGCAGAGGACAGGGGTAAGTGAAAACAATATAGCAAAAAATTATATTTTAGCTTACACATAATTTTTAATTGGAGCTACCCAAATATTGTTATACGTTGTTTTATATACAGAGTTGTATTGTATTAATTTTTAAGGTATGACAACGCATCAAATATGAGTGGGGTGTACAAAGGCGTACAAAGCAGAATTTTAACTGAAAATCCGGTAGCTGTATATTCACCTTGCGCAGCTCATAGTCTGAATTTGTGTGGAGAAGAAGCGGCCCAATCTTCAGCAGAAGCTGTTACGTTTTTTGGAATTGTTCAAAAGTGTTATAACATATTTAGCTCTAGCCCACAAAGGTAAATTATTATTTTCAAATTTGTTTGTTTAAATTCTTGGATTATCATATTGCATAACAGGTGGGAAATTCTTCAAAAGTGTATTGGATCTTCGCTACATTCTCATTCAAAAACAAGATGGTCTGCAAGGGTGGAGAGTGTACGGTCTTTTGCAGCTCATTTACCTGGACTGAAAACCGCTCTCAATGCTATAAAACAACTTCATCTCACCCCACAAACATTAACTGAAATTAAAGGTATTGAACGATATTTAAGCACGTTTGAGTGTCTACTAATGGCATCGATATGGTTAAAAGTACTCTGTGAAATAAACATATGGAATGAAATTCTGCAGGCCAGACAAGCCACCCTAGACGTAGAGGTTGTTAATCTGCGGCAACTAATTGAAAACCTTAGCACTCTGCGCTCAAAATGGTTTGATATACTTAATGAATGCAAAGCTGTTGCAGAATGTCTTAATATTGATAAAGAACTGCCTGACAGAAGAAAGAAAGCTAAACTGCTCGCTGACAAATGCACACAAATGCAAATTCATTGTCCTGAAGAAAACTTTAAAATCAATGTCTTTTTTGTGCTGCTTGACAGTGTCATTGGAAACCTAGTACGAAGGTACCAAGCTGCTAACAGCTTAAATAAGATTTTTCAGTTTCTTTGGAAATATTCAACTATGACCGAAGAAGAGCTCAAAGAAAAGGTAAAAACATTGTCTAAAAAGTACAATAATGATGTTGACGGAGAAGAATTGTTTTTAGAAATAATTGATTTGAAAAAAATTCAAAAAGGAAATTTTTCAATGAATTTGAAACCAATAACACTTCTTAGCACTTTGGCAAGCCAAAACCTAACAAATATTTTTCCAAATGTGGTAATTGCATAGAGAATCTTCTGCACTCTGCCTGTGACGGTTTCGGAAGCTGAGCGATCGTTTAGTCTTCTGTCAAGAGTAAAAAATTTTTTGCGATCCACCATGAGCGAAGAACGATTGACAAGTTTAGGAATGCTTCCACTGGAAAACGATTTAGCGAGATCTTTAAATTTTGATGATGTGGTTGATGACTTTGCTAATAAAAAAAGTAGAAAAGTTCACTTGTGAATCACAACCGTCAAATGTTCATATTAATGGTTTCTAATGTTAAATAATGTTAATGTTAAACGTGGTTTAAATGTTTTTCATGTTTTTAGTTTTTTTTTTAATTTTTATTTTATCACCATTTCTCTAAATAAATGTATGAAATAAACAGTTGGTAGGTTTTACGTGTTTGTAGGTAGTCTGCGTAAAAATATATTTATTATTATTATTTATATAACGTTCTTTAAACTAAATTTGTTTATATATATATATATATAATATATATATATATATGAGGGGCCCGGCGTGCATTCAAACTTGGGGCCCGGTTTGGCTCTCGGCGGCCCTGCATCAGCTAATGTAGTTGTTGTCGTTTACTGGCTCAATCAGTCATAACAAAAATAATTATATGTATCTAAATTGGAAAATGATGTCAAGAAAACAACAGCAAGAACAACACTAATAGTAGTAATAATAATAATAATAGTAATAATAATAATAATAACACTAACAATATTAAACAATAACAAACAAACAAACGAAGGAACGAAAGAACAAACGACAATAAAAAATAGTTGATGACGAACGAACCCTATGCAACTCCACTCCATAATACTGAACAAGTCGCTTGTGTTTGATACTCTCCAGTGTGCAAATCTCATCGTACAACTTGTGGTAGTCGCTCGGTTGGATCTTTATCTAGTAAAAGATTGAGATGGAAAGATGGCAGTGCTATCTCGATGTTATCTATATCTTATTTTGTATCTTCTTCCGGCCAAGATACAAAAGAAGATTAAGATATCAAGGTCGCCATGCCTTGGTTTAGTGAAGTTTAAAAATAAGTACCAGTGTACCTAGTTAGCAGTGAGAACAAGTACCAGTGTACCTAAGTACCAGTGCATGAAAATGATGCAACGAACCTCTTTGACGGCCATGAGGACATCATTATCAAGATTGATGGCTGTGTACACCTTTCCAAATTGACCTTCTCCTACATGTGGTAATGATGATGATGATCATGGGAATGATGATGATGATCATGGTGATAGGAATGATGATGATAATGATATGAATGATGATGATGATGATAGAAATGATGATGATAGAAATGATGATGATGATGATGATAGGAATGATGATGATGATGATGATGATGTTGATGATGATGATATGAATGTTGATGATGATAGGAACGATAAATGATCATGATGATGATGATAGGAATGATGATGATGATGATAGGAATGATGATGATGATAGGAATGATGATTATTGGAACGATGATGGTGATAGCGATGGTGGTGATAATGTGGATGATGTAAAAGCCGATGAAAATGATGAGATGATGAAAGGAGTGAGGATAACGATAATGATGACAGACATATAGCGAGAAGTTAATGAAAAAATTATCAAAAAACATTAAATACATTTTCCGACAATCTTTACTCAAACAAAATGTATTCAACCTTACATACTTTTGTCTACCCATCCATCTATCTATTTATTTATCTGGCACTCCGTCAAATCATTCATTCATCTATTTATCCATCCATCTATCTATCCATTTATCTAGATGTCAATTCATCAATTCAACAATCCATTCATTCATCCATCCGTCCATTCTTCTATCCAACCATCCACCCAGCAACCGACCAATCTTGATGCCTCTTTGCCACTTAAACTTGACCTTCCTCACTCGGATGCTGAAGTCTGCTTCCTGTTTCCGGTCAGTCACTCGACCTATGACCTTTCATTTGTTTATTCATTAGTTCGTTCATTCGTTCACTCGTTCATTCAATCATTCATTACATTCATTAATTTTTTGCATTCATTTAACAAGCTAATTAGCTCTTCATTTATCCACCCATTTATTCATTCACTCATTCATTCATTTAATAATAATAATAATAATAATAATAATAATAATAATAATAATAATAATAATAATAATAATAATAATAATAATAATGATAACAACGATGACGATGACGAAGTTGATGATGGTACCTTCCTCTCAGTGAGCATCTCATCCCTCTTTCTATCCACCTTCCTCACAGCATCCAGGCAAACCTGCTTCCTGGGTGGTCGCTTCCAGAGCCCGAAATGTGATAACGACGACGACGATGAGGGCGTCACCATCATCGACCCTGCCGACATGGGGGTCGTTGGGTGGTTGTCTGGGTCGGTTGGCGGTGATGATAGTGTGTGATAACGTGACGAAGATGTGGACGGTGGTGATTGTGATAGTTACAACAACATAATTTGAGGTTCAAATACAAAATACACGTCTGTCCAAGAACAAGATGATGTGCTAACCGGCGTCTGATAGGTCTCCAGGGATGGACGCTCTCTGCATGGTGAATGGGGAGGTCCTGAGACCTGTCAGTTGGAAATATTCATTATCATTTTCATCATCATCATCATCATCATCATCGTTTTCGATATCATCATCATTATTTTTACAGTTTAATCGTTTGTACCATCATCGTTCTTTAGCAAATGATTTTCCATCAACATGTCTGAAGAACATTGCATCCGAAATTATAAAGATTATCGTCATCCCGGGAAATTGTATGCAAGCCAGATTGAAAACATTCCCACTAAAAATCCCACATCCCATTCTACAACAACCAACTAACAGGGCGATGAACTGAGGCTGTAGAGCGATCGGGAAGGAGATGCGTACATCCGTCTGCCACCTGAGCCACCACTGCCACCGATGACGGCCGGTGAGGCCGATGCAGACGTGCGCATCAAAGGCTTCTGATTCGTTATGTCTGGACTGAAACCTGTTGTTGAGAAATTTGTGCGTGTATGTGTGCGTGTATGTATGCGTGTATTTGCGTGTCCGTGCGTGTGTGCGCATGCATGTGTAGACTGCAAAGCTTACGACAGTAAAGAAGATTTTAGAGCTAATATTAATTAAAATATGACATTGCATACAATGGTTCGATGCATCAATATAAAACACATAATGGCAGAAGTGATGAAAGTTGATGAGAGTAACATTGGAACGACAACGACCCAGAAGTTCGTGGGAACGTTGGTCCTTTTCATTTTTAGTGATTTTACCCCTCAAAATCATCGGAATTATAATAATAATGATGTTAAGATTTGAACTGGGCTGGTGCGTCGGGGTGCCTGGACTGGAATTTTTCCGACCGGTGGTAGCGGTTTTGAGTTACATAAACAAAATTTAAAACAAAACTCACCAATAAACAATAAAGTAAAAATAAAAAACATTTGCTGAAATAAATTATTAAATAAAGGCCAATGTCAACAAGGCACATCATAGCACCATTGCGACAACTGAAATGCCGTTAAAGTTAACAAAAAAAAGATGATCATTAGCCCTGCCAACGTGAACAAAAAAAACCAAACTAATAAAAAAAATAATTTGTCAAAAAACTGACCCGGCTTCGTGCCGACGACGTGACTGATGCAGCTGTCGATGCGCTGGGTGAAGGCCTGTACGATGCAAAGTGACAATAAATACCATCATGAACGTCATCACCAATTCATCGGTGACATCACCAGTGACGTCATAGACGTAATTAACTTCACCAGCATTGCTGGGCAAATCAGACTAACTTCATCATCATCAACGTCATCATCAGCAATATATGCCATAATTTTCTTATTAAAAGCCTCATCATCACCACCACAACGTCAATATTAGTAGCAATTAAATATTAACGACGTCACCGTAATCATCATCATCACCATCATCCTAACCTTAAACTCATCATCCTTGATGGCGCTGGTGTTCCTGGGATCACAAACAAACTTCAAGAAATCAAATCCAGGTTGCGTCCACCTAGCGGGTAGAAATTAAATTGCAAGTTAAACACGTCATCGACAATCAGACAATCGACAAGGAAAGGAAACAACTGAGCTACCAGCTGGCCAGTGAACGACTCAAAATAATCGGCTTGAGCGACTTAATAAAAATTCATTTGAAATGAGGATCGTGAATGAAGACAGTTCTGTATGTATGGATGGATGGATAACGAAAACCTGGATGAACCCTTCAAGTCACGCCACGCCAACCCGCTCAAACTTCATAGGCATACCCCGATTTGGATAATTTTTTAAAGGTCGGATTTGATGAGGATAAATTGGAAGGCGTATTGGTTCTATGGTTAAGAGGCCTGGCGCTGCTATACAGTGACTGAGTTGGAATGCAAAAGGACCCCCTCCCATCACTTGCAAGGCATCTCATGCACAGATTGACACGTACCTACAAGCACTGTGCGTTCGCTGTTGATGCCGCTGAGTTATTAATAAGTGAGAGAGAAATAAAAAAAAAGAAGTTTGTAGAATTATACATGAGGACAAATATACTACCTTGGTCTGATGCCCCTGCCCTTCTCGCAGGACAGGGCAAACGCCATCCACTGGTCGGCGAACTTGATCATCTTGATTGAAAGATCGTGTCGCATCTCTCCTGACACCAGGCGAGATAATTCTTTGTGGTACTGCGTGCGTGCGTGTGTGTTTGTGTGCGTGCGTGTTTGTGTGCGTGCGTGTTTATAGCTGATTGTACTGAACTCAATAAAGCAAAATCAAAATCTCATAAAATTAATATTAACAAATATTTTTTAACAAATAAATCAACTCAACTCAACTCGGCTTAAATGATTAAAGTCTAAATGTGTATAAAAAAAATGATGAAATGTGTAAAAACAGCACATCAAATTCTACAACAATGATAAAAGGACCTTGACAATAAAATCTAAAACATGAATAAATAGCAGTACCATGCTACGAGGCAACATCCCATACCGCATTACGATGCAGCCTACAACAGTACATGGTACATGGCATTGTACGGCATGCCATCGCAGAATCTAACCTCGAAGGCAAAGCTGTAGCAGTGGAGAATGGTCTGCTTGTTGGTCTTCAGCACGTCCGCTCTCTCCATCTCGTCCGCATCTATCTCCATCATCCGTTCACTTATCCTCGTCATCCCTTCTGCCAGTCTGTCTCTCAGCTCGAGAGCACCACCCTGTACATTGTTCAGCCACTTATTTGTTTGTTTTTTGGTTGGTTGGTTCGTTTGTTTATATGTTTGTTTGTTTGTTTCGTTCTTCCATTCATTCATTTGTTTATTTATTTATTCAGAATTCCAGCAAAAACAAAACCAAGTGAAGTTAAAAAGTTTCCCAGAATTAAAAAAAAACAACATTGAATGGCCTCAACTGCATGAACAAATTCGCCGTCCAACGACCACTGAGGTAACTCAGCATCAGGCATTGCAGGCAAGCAGGTATGTTATTATTATTATTCTTTCTTCATTTTAACAAGAGACTATTGTTTAATTATGATTATTCGTATTTTTCATTTCATTTGTTTTTAGTAAATCATTTTATATTCAAAGTTTTAAAGCTTTATGTCTCATTTTGCGGCTTGTGTGCTCCTGATAACAATCGTTAACAGAAAAAATATTTACTTCACTCATTATTTATTTTTAAAGTAAGCATGTTAAAATATTAAAATAAAAACCTTCAGAGCGTGCACTCATTGTTAATGGGTGTAGCATCTAGAAGGAAGTAAATTTGAAACAAAAAGTCAAAAATCTGCGAGCTCAAATATTAAAATTTAAAAAAATGCGTTATAAAATTGTTCTCATTGTTGGACGAGTGTCATTAAAGCTATCAAGATAGCGTGCCATTCACATTTGTTAAATTCATTCAACAGTATAAACAAACAATGCCGGCGAGAGTCCATTGTCATTCTCAATTTATAAGCAACATTTTCATCACAGTTTTCGGTGGAAAATTAATTTGACAGTAATTTTGAAACATATTTTTTTCATCGTACGCAAGAAATATTTTTTGATTTCATTGAAGTTTTTGAATCTTTAAAATTTTGTGTAATCTGCAAGAAAACCTAATTCATTTTACGTTTAATCTCGTCTATACTTTTAACATGGTTGGAAGCGACAGGTGTGGACGTATAAGAGTTCATACAAATCAACGCAGCATCATCTGAACTGGGCAGAACTAAAACCATCTTTTATAACGCAACAACAAACGCTAGAGCGGAGACAGACCTTGAGTTCGTTGAGAGATAAGGAGATGGACTGATGGCAGGACATTTGCTCGTTCTTCATGACCACGCAGCCTGCCGTTAACCTTTCAAAGTTCTGTCTGCATTGAGGTAGCTCCAAGGAGTGCATGGAAACTAACAACACTCCATCTATCTGTTTGTATGTTTGTGTGTGTGTGTGTGCGTGTGTGCGCGTGTGTGTGTGTGTGTGTGTGTGTGTGTGTGTGTGTGTGTGTGTGTGTGTGTGTGTGTGTGTAGATATAAGTGTATGTGTGTGAATGTAACTACAAAGGGTGAACGCTAATTTGAAAATTTTTACTGATATGCATGGACAAGCATTCATGCCGAAATTGCTGCAAGTTATGAATGTGTTGAGACAGATAAAAAAACACGCCAGAAAATAAGCATCAAAAAAATTCTAGCACAAAAGAAGAAATCACCGACCTCGATGTAGGCCAGAGCAATTGTAGCTTCAGCATTTGGTTCAAACGGTACCTTCTTACCTTTCCAATCACCAGCGTAACCATTGTTGTTGTCAGTAACACCAGATGCAACGTTTGCATTACGATGATCATCTTCCTTACCATCATCATCCTCATCTGTGATTTCATCATCGTGGTCGTCATCTTCACCGTCATCGCCAAACATAACTCGTTTACCTCCCTTCTTAGTTTCTCCATTTCCACAAACGTCATCATTGTCGTCCTGGTGATCGACAACATCATCATCGTGAGGGTAGCGACTTCTGAAAGATTTCTTCTTGACAATGATGAGGTACCTGGCGTTGCCCGAGTAGGTGCTGGAGTTGGAGAAGTATGAAACGCAAGAGGGATTGGCCTCCAGACTGTTGGCCAGCCCCACGCTCCTCTGTTTCGTGAACTCCTTCTTGATGCTGTCGCTGGTGGCTGTGAAACTTTTGGCCAGGTTCAAATGTTTGCTACCACGCTGGCTTTTGTTAGGAGCGTTGCCGTTGTTGTTGGTGTTTGTTGGCAATTTTTCGTAGGGAACAATACTGTTGTTGTTGCTGTTGCCGCCATTGTTGTTGATGACATCATCGCTTTCAATGCCACTGCCAGCAGAGGATTCAAGTTTGCGCAGAAGTCTGACGTCAGTGCCACAGGAAACATTGAGGAGGCGACTCAAACATCTGACGTCGTTTGATATGTACTCAGGCACGAACACCATGTAATCCGTGCTGTCCTCAAACACCAGCTGCATTCGTGTTTCAATTTTCTAGTGTATCTCTCAGAATATTCTCAAATGTGATGTGAAATATTAAAAAATTTAGTTTCATTGAATAAAAAACGGAAAAATTGGTCACAGCATTTGAACGAATTTATGAAGCGTGGATGTGGAACTGTGTCAAACAACGTCCAGACCCATGATCCAAGTTGTGCAGATTAACAAAATTATTTGCACAGTGCACAAACAGCGCGAAACTAACTTGAACAAAATTGTTTCGACAGAGAATATCAAGCAGTTGAGCATGTGACACAGTGGCCCTGTAGTTGGCTGCCACTTCTAAGTCCTGCCAAATTTTGTTATCATCACCTCCTCATAATCATTAAACCCGTGAACATCATCTTCATCGACATTATTATCTTATCACCATGACAATCATCATTAGCATTGCAATACAATCATCATTAGTAGCATCACCATGGATGGTGCATATCTGCTGCTGCCATTGTTAAAAAAAGAAACCAACAGAGAAGAAAGACATTATCACAAACGTCAAATTTCGGGTAACCAGAGAAATTTTCAGTAATTTCAATCTCTCAGCTTTTTTTTCAAAATCGAATCAATCACCAAAAGTCAACAACAACAACGACGACAACAACTACAGTAACAATTACAGCGACAACAACAACAACAACAACAGCAACAACAACAGCAACAACAACAACGACAACAACAACAAAAACAAAAAAGCAACAACAACGTTCATATCATGAAGGTCACCTTGATAAGCATCTTGGCAAAGGATAGGGCCTTCAATGATGTATCTCTAGCTTCGTTGAAATAAATCTTTAAGTCTCTACTCAGCTGGCTCATGTTCTGTCTGTATGTACGTTGCATTGTGTAATGCATTGTATTGTATGTGTATTGTATTGTATTGTATTGTATCGTGTATTATACCGCATTGTACCTTGTATTGTATTGTATCGTGTATTGTATTGTGTATTGTATTGTATAAAACTCAACACTATAACGCTACATGACTATACGATAGTGACATAGTGACGTAATAAACACTACTCTCTCTCTCTCTCTTCTCTCTTTCTCTCTCTCTACATACAGCAATAGCGCCAGAGATAATAATACATAAATAGAGATGTAATAAAATTTTCCGAAAAAAAATAAAAACTAAAAAGATAATATTCATCTAAGCCTGCTGTCACAACAACGTGATAGAGTAACGAGAGAAAAAAATTGAGAGTTCAGTCAATTGAATGCGAGATAGTCACAAGCCATTTGCTGTTTTTGCACGTGTTGAGAATTTCCCTCTAGAATATGGTAGATCAAGAATAGCAACAGCCATAGCAAAGAACTATAAATAAGGAGACAAATTATATAAATAGAAAATATTGACATGGATAAAAAAATCCTGACATGATCTTAAAAACACCAATAAAAAGATTATTACATGTAGCTATCCGAGATAATAAAACATCACTTTAGTATGAGTGTGTGTGTGTGTGTGTGAGAGAGAGAGAGAGAGAGAAAAAGAAGAGAGAGAGAGAAAGAGAGAGAGAAAAAGAGAAACGTGACATCACTTTGCAACAGCTGCCTGCCCTGTCTACAAAAATAGTAAAAAAAAATCAATGCAATGAAGTTATTTTCTAGCTAACCTAAATTCCGACGACTTGCTTTTATGGATGACCACATCACTTTCGTCTTCATCCTTCTCATCCTCCTCATCATCATCACCATCATCACCACCATCATCATCATTGTCGCCATCTTCTCCATCGTCATTAGCGTCATCGTCGTCATTATTTATGGAGTGATAGTTGGTGCAAGCAAAGAGTTTCTGACTACACTCATCTATCTTGGAGTCAAGGAAGTCTGATATTGATGTGATCAAACTGTAGGCCATCGTGCTGTTTGTGTGTGTGTGTGTATAAGTGTGTGTGTGTGTGTGTGTGTGTGTGTGTGTGTGTGTGTTTGCATAAGAGTGTGTATAAAGGTTAAAGGTTCAAGGTTACTCTTTCTCTCTTCTGCTCTTGCTTCAGAGGTTACAACGACAAACACACACAGCGTATATGAATACGCGTGCAAACCACGCATCATACACATTGCATATGATAGGCGGGGATCTTTTTGTATTCGAAACCCAGTCACTGCAGCAGCAAGACTAGGCACCATTAACCAATGAGCCATCACGCCGCCAAAGTGTAAGTGTGTGTGTGTGTGTGAGAGAGAGAGAGAGAGAGAGAGAGAGAGAGAAAGAGATGAAAAGAGAGAGAGAGAGAGATAAAACTTGTATAAAAGTGTGCAGGTTAATGCGTGTGTGAGCGCATAGGTGGTGCGTGTGTGGGTGGGGGTACTTTGAAGAATCAAGATTAATTTGCAAACGTTTCTAAGGATTAATTCAACAAGAAAGGCTTATAAATCATTCAGAGAACCCCATTTTTTCGACCATAAAATCACTCACTGATACATTCACCCCAACCACATCCTTCTTGAAACATCTCCCTCATAACTACACCATCCCTTTCACCACCCTCAACTATGTAAATGTTTGTCATCCCCATCACGATCGATCATCATCTTTTATCACCATCCTCATCGCCTACTATCCTCATCATCATCATATTTACTGTTATTGTTATCGTCGCCATCATTGACTCATCATCATCATCGTCATCATCAACATAAAAAAATTCCCACCAGAATTTGATGCCGGCATCAGCTTCTCCATTGCGAATGTGTGGACAGACAACTTTTGAGAACTCCCACTCGACTTCCAGGAAGTTCTTCAGCTCCTTGGACATCTGCACTGTCCACTGCTGCAGCATGGTCATGAAGCTCTGCATGTACTCAAAGTATACCTGTCTCGTGTTTAATATGTTGTGTGTGTGTGTGTGTGTGTGTGTCCAGTTTTTGTTGTATGATCGTATGCGTACGCATGTCTGGTATGTCATATACATATTATGTTGTACTCATATACATGTATATTGTATTGTATTGTATGCATGCATATTGTATGCATGTATATTGTATTGTATTGTATGTATGTATATTGTATGCCCACTATGTTGAATGCATAATATGTGCAGATAAAAGCAATTATTTTAATACTTAATCCTCCTTATTAGTTGTACGAAAGAGAGAAGCATGCCAGCTAACACTTAACATCTTGACGAGGTCGTCTTCGAACTTTTCCATTTCAATTTCATGTTGAGGTCCAGTTTCGAGATGGCAGATGAGTTCCAGGTAGTACCTCTTCATGTCCACACAGGCGTTAAGTGTCTCCTTACACTCGTGGATCAGCTGCGTTTTCAAGATATTATGACAAAGAAAATTACAGTTGAAATTGATCAAAGAAATTTTCATGCTATTTAAAATGTGATTTAAGTTATAAATGGTTAGTGAAAATACTATAAATTAAGTAGATAATAATTTTCAAATGCAACTGAATGATCAATGAATTGTACAATTTGATTAGCTGAAAACTTTGAAGGTTCAATGAAAAAAAATTTTATATTTCGTTTAGTTTATTAACTTTTCACAACCACTCATTATCACTTCAATCACATTTCAAATAATATATCAAACGTTCAAAATTATTTGACATTATTCAACAAATAAGTCTATTAACCATGCAAATATTCAAATTACTGACCACTCAACAAATAAAATAAAAGCATGTAAAATGATTCAACCGGCTTTAAAATATCAATGGAAGGTTTCTTCTTTGGCTGTTCATCCAATCTCAGTTTGAGGCACTCGTGAATGATGTCCAGCGGTACTCGACTCAGAAATAAGTACAAGTACTTGAATGAAGGTAACTGCATGGCTGCCAAGTAATTTTTTGTACTTTCTGTCGTACCCTGTGCTGTTGTTGTTGTTGAAGCTGTTGCAGCAGATGTAGTAGGTCGATTGACAAATGTTGCTATGCAGTCGGTGGTTGTTGAAGACGTCGTTGATGAAACAGTATGTGAAGTAGCTTCTGAAATTGTGGTAGTGTCAAATAGGACATCCACAGTTGAACAAGTTGTGGAATTATTGGAAGTATTTTCTACTTGAGTTACTTGATTGCCAGCAACGTCTGCATGGTATGGAGGAGGTCCTGATGTCGATTCAATGTTTGAATGCATGGTCTTCAGTGGGAGGAGGGAATCAAGATTTGAACACGGTGTTGAAAATGCTGACGAAGATGATGACGACGACGACGATGATGACGAAGATGATGATTGTAGTTGCTGTCTTGATGGTGATGTTAATGGTGTTGGAGGAGATATAAGTTCCTGAAAATGTCAAAATTTAAATTAAACGTGTCCTTTGGTAAAAACGAAGAACCAAAACTTAACTAAAAAACAAATGTTAAAAGATTAGATGCATCACAAAGAGGTGAGCACTCACGTGGAATAATGCATCCCTGGTTTTTTCGAGGGTCCTGTATAAAACCTTCTTCATCCTGTTGGAGAACTTCCTGAGACCAGTCCACTTGAGAGCCCGGTCAACGTACCACCTGTAAATGGAAGTCGTCGAGTTGGGCAGCATCTCAAAACTTTCCGCACTGGTGATGGACGACTTGGACGATTGGTGGTCGAGCGAGGATGCCGGCTGCTGCAAAGATGAGCTGAGTTGGGATAGCGACTGCGATGATGAAAGTTTTGATTGCTGGAAAGTTACGGACTTTGATAACTGCCGGCTGAATGTTTTGCCATCATTTGGCTTTAACTGTGTGGAATTATTATCATTTTTATTATTATTATTATTATCGGTGTCTATCACGTCGTGATCTCCATTATTATCTTCCAGCAAATTTAAAACTATATTACTGTTGTCTTCACCGACCTTGTTATTGTTGTGATTTTTATTGATGCAATTGCCACAACTAATGTTATTCTCAAGTGAACTTTGGCCTTTGTTATTGTTATTATTATCGTTAATACTGACCTCCTCGAAACTCAAGTCGCATTTCAACCTCCTGATGTTAAAATCACTGAAGAGCATTTGCAGTTTATCCAGCTTCTCGGAGTCGACGCAGGACCACAATGAAAAGTCCTTCTGCTTACTGGTCGTCACTAAATCGAAAACGTTTTTTAACTGCTCGAAAAGGATTCTCGTAACATTGAACCACAAGTACAGCACTTCCGTTCTCTTCTTAAGTTCATCCATTTCATTCAACTCAAAACCTAAATTCTCTGACAAATCATTCCAGAGGGATTTCTGGGTCGGGTAAAGAGATTCCACGAACGTTATTTTATACAGAAGTCTTATAACTTGCTCTAACGACTGCGTGAAGATGTCAAGTTCTCTGTTCAGACAGGCGCCAATGATGCTTTTAGTAGTGGGGATCTTGTCCAGCAGAGATGCTTCGAAGATGTCGCAACAGCATCCAATGTTGTTGTTGTTGCTGCTGCTGCTGCTGCTATTGGTTGACGCTTTTGATGCTGCTACAGGAATATCTGAAGTGAACGGCGGCTGGATGTTTACTCTGGATGGAAATAAAAAAAATTAAAACAACTGAAACACTGACGACTTAATTTTAACGGTTGGTCGTCATTTTAAACTACCGTCGCTAAAAATTTTATTACTTTCATGATACATTCATTTATTTATTTATCCACAAAACTGACCAGAGGGTATAAGCATACCACTAACCTTGCCAGTAATGAGAAAAAGTAATTTCTGTAACACACAATGTCAAAAAAATCCGCAAAAATGAATGGAATTGTATAAAAAGTGTTAATGACAATATTATCATCATCCATCAACATCGTCATTATAACCAACCAACTGCAAAAGACATGCAACAAGATATTTTTATTAATTATTATTATTATTTTCACTAATACAATTATTAAATACATTGTCAGATAAGAAATCATTAAATGTATCTGTCACCAACTAACACAAACCAACATCTCCATTATCTTCAACATCATATCCTTCTTCTTCATCATCATCGTCATCATTATTATCATTCTCATTACAGCCAACATCATAACCCTGATCAAGTTACTCATCATCATCGCCATTACTATATCATCATCTCAACATCATCCAATTTTTTTTTCAATGTTTTTCAATGTTTTTTTCAATGTTTTTTTTTACAATTGATTTTTTTTTAGGTCACATGTAAAGAAAGAACCCAAGCGGTTATACAGATCTTATTTTTCTGAGAAAAAAATTAAAGATTGGAAAACAAAAAAAAAACCAACCTGAACTTGAGGACTTCCCTTAGAATTGTGGCGACATTATGTTTCCGCTGGTGCAGCACGAATGCATCCTGCTCCAGTGGAGTTTTGCAGTTTATGTAAGCCTGTTGGCAGTGCAGAGCGGTGATATGACGTGATGTGGTGTCCATATGATGATTACACTCGCTTTATAATCATTGATGTCATGTAATCACTATTATTATCATTGTTATTTCCTATCGGCAATCATCTTAATCTTTTTTATACATAATTCTCATGCAATCAATAAAATAGAAACTAAATTTAACTACTTATTAACTACCTAATTTAAATAAAAAAAATAAAAACTAAAAAATTAAAAAATAAAAACTGAAAGAATTATAAGGATGACTTCAAATGAACAGCAAGAGTCAACGTCAACATTATTTCCCAAAACGATATCATATGACCATTATCATTGGGACATTTTTATCTACCAAATCACTACCTTGTTCATTGCAATTCACAATTAGATTGCTACTCCATTGTTATTACTACAACCACCATCACCACCTTTATCATCATCATCAACATTATCTTCATCCTCATCACCATGATTACCGCCATTTTTACCATTCTTACCACTTTCACCACCATCTTCGTCATCATCATCATTATCATCCTCATCGTCGTCATCACCACCGTCATAACCATCACCATTACCCCCCTCACCATCATCCATCATTCACCTCCCACGCACCTGCAACTCCATCCAGAGGTCTTCCTTCAGTTGCACCCTCAACTGCTCCTCCTCCAGACTCATTTGCCCCGAGTACATCTGCCTCTTGCAGTCCTTGTCGCGTCCTTCACATTATTATTATTATTATTATACAAGGTTCAGACTGGATAAAATATATTATTGTCTTTTTATTAACTTTATTGCAACTCTATGTTTAACTTTGATTGATAACGCCAAAATAATAAGAATGATTGAACCCCAATTGAACAATTAAACCGGCCCCTCTAAAATGTACCCACTTGCAGTGATGAGCATTTTAGATTAATAGGTATTTATAATTATTTCATTATTGATATTTGGTATTTGGAGTTAGAAAATAAAAGGATGTTCATATTATTATTACTATTATCATCATCATCATCATTGTTGTAGTTGTGGTTATAATTCAAAGTTCCATGGCTCTTTTTTATTTACTGACCAATTGATGAGCTATACGATCAAATGAACTTGTGCATATTACTGTGATAGGAACAATATATAACTATTTAAATGTTTTATCTTGTTTTAACACTTTTCCCAGACAATGAACCTCGAGGTTTTCTTCTATTTTAATTTACTTTATCTTATGTATTTCAACTTTATGGTTAACTTTAGCATTGATTTCTTGGACGTAAGAATGAAAGAGTTTCAATTTGTAATCGTAATAATAAACATTATTAATTATTACAACTATATATTATAATAGTTTTAATTAATGTTACATAATTTATCGTATTATTAATATTATAGAGTGGTTAGAGTAGTTTGATTTTTTGGTGTCAAAATGCTCACCAGTTAAAAATTGACAATAGTAATTCACGTAAAACATTTTCAAATAAATTTTCATACAGAAGCAACCAAAATGACAGTGCTAACGGTGATGGTTATGACGGTGGTGATGACAACGATGAGGATGATGATGATGACGAAGATGGTATTCAAGGTTGTGAGAATGGTATTAATCATCAAAAAAAACTCATCAAATTATATGCAACAAATCATAAAATAGTAAATAGACAGAATAGTAAGTCTTACGTGGAAAGCATGTCTCGAAAGGCTTACATAAGGTTCATCAGTCAGGTATCTTTTTATCTAAATTACTAACAATGTGAATGAAATTCAGTAAACAATAGATATAGATAGATTTATTAGCCAAACAGGGCTACAACAAAAATATTTCCCAATTTAATAACTTCAGTTGAAAAATCAATTAATATTACGAGATGTAAATTAAAGCTGAATGAACAAAAAAATAAGTGTGAGAGTTGAGATAAACTAATAAATAAATAATATGATCTGCTGTAACAATTCAACAATTTTCTTTCTGATGTCATTGTACAATTATGCTGGGAATTAAAAAATTTCATTTTAGCTCTTTGTTTAGTTCAGATATTTCAGTCATTGTTAATTATTATTACTATTTATTATGATTATTATTGTTAATGTTGTTGTTGCTATGGCATACAACTAGCACACAAAGAACAGTGAATTTATAATTTATTTACAATTTATAATTTAAATATATAATATGGTGAAATATTATATAATTTTTTGAGAACAATGGGTTGAGTTGGGATACGCTCTTGCACTTGAACCCAGTTACTGCAACACACCACCTGGTAGAGCAGTCTAGCGATTAGGCCATCTTACTGCTTGACTGACCAATCATACAAACTAGTCTAATAAACATAAGAAACCTTCGCATAATTACATAACACAACCTGTACCACAACTCCCAAGAATGACATTGATGATTTCAAGAAGTCCAACATCATGTGCATACAAATGGATCAGAAACAATCATACGAACCAACTGATGACTTGCACAAAAGTTGCTGTCACACAAGCCAATCCTACAGTTAAGTTTTAAACAAACATAGGCTGATTACTGTGTGCAAACAAGAACATGAACATGATAGAATGTTTGTAAACTATTTCTGAATCTATGATGAAAATATTAATATATGAGTCTAAAAAAGACCCATCCGTATGTTTGCCTGGGTTTTTGGGTTTTGTTGATATTTTTTATCAGGAAGTGCAACATTATAAAGAGCTTTATCACAAAGGAAAATGTGAAGAATTCCAATTTAAAATCTGGCCCAGCCCTCTAAAACTGATTCAACTATGTGAAGCAGTAGAGTTGAATTTCTATCAAGTAAACAAATGAATAAATAACTCATTTCAAAAATTGATAGAGATTTCATTGAAAAATATACAAGCAGCATGTTTCAATGTTGGTGTTGACAAATTCACAATCAAATCATTCCAACTGGGGTGCAAATAAATTGATTGTAACTTGCATAGCATCATAGTATATGGAAAGGCTAAATGAAAAACATTTCTTAAGCTTTTATTATCATCATCATCCCTTTAAATCAAATAGAACATAAATCTCTGAATGCACAGTGTTTTACAAAGCATGGTGGTTATAATATTCACCATAAAACAGATCATCCTTTTTAGTTTTACTATTTCCAAGCCAGCATGTACTTTACTTAAAATGCTCTGCTGCAAGTGAGTTTCATAATGATTTCTGAAAACACTCCAACTATTTAATAAAAAAAAAAACAAAAAAAATGTTATCATGGTTATTCAAGGGCTTGAAAAGAATCAAAGACAACTAAAAATCTACTGATATTTTTGTATTTAAGAAAAGTGACAGTGAACTAAAACATTCACTTTCTTACTGACATTATTACACCATTATTATTCCACTTATTAAAAAAATCTGAAACTAGGTTAACAAACACTGAATCACCACCTCCTTGTAAGTGAAAGGTGAACCATTAACAAATATAAAACATTTTCTATGTTACAATTCTTCTGCTAACTAACCTCTTTATTCATTCATCAGCTAGTGCTAGATATTCATAACCTTAGTTAGATCATTTATCATCCCATCAAACAAAAACCAGTTACATGTATGTTGCATATAAAAATAAATATATATGAATGTGTGTGTGTGTGTGTGTGTGTGTGTGCGTGCGCGTTTGTTTATGTGAATATGAGTGAATGTATGTGTTTCTGAAATAATTTTTAAATAAGTATTTCATAAATATCCTAATGTTTTTCAAGCTTATTTTCTTGAAGTTATTGAGTCAACAAATGATCAAAATTGTTTAAGGTTCTTTGAAAAGAAGTACTCTTCCACATGAAATAATAAATTATATTTGCAACATTGCTTTTGTTTGGTTGTTAGGGCATACATCAATGAGCCCACAATTGCATAATAAAACTATTTACTTTATTGCACAAGTGGAGCTAATTACTTGGCCACATTTATAAATTCTTGGTACTTTCTAATCACAATCCTTTTGATAAAAATTTTGTGTCTTCTAAATTTATTTGATATGAATAATAATATTCAAGATTTGAAATTTAATTCAAAGTTTCTATTCACAAAGCTATCCTCCAAACTTGAAAATATTAAACTCAAACTGAAACCAACAAAAGATGGATAACATATTGACAATCATTTCAAACATTTTTAATTAAATAAAATTTAACCTTTCCCAAGATCAATGAGCAGAGAAAAACTTTTATAAAATGATTGCCTGTCCATTGAGGAGTTGTTGGTTGTCACTGCCAGTTTAGATTTCCTGTTGGTCAATGTTGAATCTTTAATGTTGGACCTCTGAGATGAACTTTTGCTGGGCACAGGTGTCATGGGTTTTGTGTGCGTTTCAATAGAGTTCAAACGACTGACTTCGTTTACTGAGCAATTTTCTTGCTTGAAAGTCCTTTCAAAGTTTCTAGTTTTGGTATGAAATTTTTTGCTATCTGATAAAAACTTCAAGCCGTCACTGGATTCTGAATCTGAATCTCCGTCAACTTCTACTGCATGTTCTTCCATATGATAATTGACCTTATTTCTGACAGACAATTTTTGCTGCTTTACTTTTTTTAATCTGCTTTTGATTCTTTGTTCTAATCTTTTATCCTGAGGTGTACTGCCATACAGGTCCAAGTAAGAACTATTCTCTTCATAATAATCTAGGGAATCTAAACTCTGTTCTTCAGATAAACTGAAGTTTTCTCGTTTTTGATCATAATCTAAGCTACAAAAAAAAAAACAAAATAAATTTACTCCCAATCATTTACAATTAAAACATTTGATTAAAGTTAAACATTCATTGAATTGAATATTTCTTAACCCATACTTATTTGCTATTTGTCATTTGCAATCATTCAATTTCAACATAATTGTAAGTAATGTAATGTGTGGGTGCTGCAGAATTAACTTGAAAATTAAATACCCACAAAAGGGCCTGGTTAAGAAAGTACTTGCAAGAATGAAACGTTCAATTAACGTGACAACCAACCTCTGTCCATCTTTTTCAACAAAGTCACTACTTTTTATCATTTGAAGGATTGAAATTCATCGACAGCACAATACGTGCACCACAATTTTGACATTTAACAATCTAGACAACGAAAAAACAAGTCATTATTTTTTTAAAGTATGGAAAACCATCCTCGATGACTTTAATAAATTTAAAAAAAAACTCACCAAAATATTATAAAATCATTTCTAAACTTTTAAATCATAATCATTTTGAAATATACCTGCATATATCTGAAAATAATTTTTAATTAGAAAAAATTAATATAAAACAGAAAAATAATCTGAAAGTTAAGGCATGGTCGAATCAACCTAAATAGTTGGAATAGTTGTAGTAGTAACAGTTTTTTTCTCATAGTTAATACAAATTTTAGTGAAAATCACAGCATGTTCCGCGTTAGTAAGCTTACTGTTTAATTTTTCGATTTTTCTAAGGGTTGATCGCAAATCATTCGCAAGTTTATTGAGTTCAAAACCAAAATTTTTATTTGTTTTAAGCATGATAAAACATTTAAGCATGATAGAACAAAAAATCAGCAAATAGACGGAGTAGCAATGGGCTCTCCAATGGGCTCTTCGCAAATTTCTATGTTGGACATATTCAATCAATCAATCAATCAATCAATCAATCAATTAGCTTATAAAGCGCTATTTCCGCGATGTTCAACAGCGCTCCTCAATGAATTTTGAAAACAGATGGGTCTTGAGATCCGCTCTGAACTTCGCAAGCGATGGAGAAATAGTTAGAGAAGTAGGCAGAGAGTTCCAGAAAAAAGGACCAGAAAAAGCAAAAGCAGATTTGGCAAAAGAGTGTTTAACACGAGTTAAGAAAAAGCGAGAAGAAGAAGACGATCGTAAACCGGGGCGTTTAGGTTCAATTAATATATCTGATAAGTACTTAGGAAATAATTTAGATTGAGACTTATACATGAACGTGCAAATTTTAAAAATTATTCTATATTTTATAGGTAGCCAGTGCAAGAGAACAAGATATGGAGATATATGAGAAAAGAAAGGGGCACGAGCAACTAGACGAGCAGCAGAGTTAAAAGCTTTGAAGAAATGTTATTTAAAGAACCAGAGTTAAAGCCTAATATATAATGCCGATATATTTGTTACATACGATGAAGATAATCCAATAGAAAAATTTCTACAACGACTAAATTCATCAAAATTAAATTTTGCAATGGAAAAAACAACAGACAATAAATTACCATTCCTAGACGTACTAATACAAAATGAATTTAAAACCTCAGTATACACCAAAGCAACAAACAATCAAAGGTTTATTTCTTACTGGAAATAGTGAATGTTGTCAAACATATCTAGAGAGCACGATCTTTGCTTTTATAAACCGAGCCTATACGCACTCTTCTAATGTAGGAAGCAGGAGAACAGAACTAGATAGAGTCACTAAATTACTCATTAATAATGAATATAAAAATTCCACGATCCTGAAAATAATAGAACGCAAAGAACAAAAAATTAGGAACCACAACAATGCAACCAACAATAGTAACAAAAATAACATAGTAATATATTTTAAGAACCACATGTCAATTGCTTTCAAACAGGGTGAAAAAATTATGAAAAGAATCATAAAAAAATAACGTCCAAACAACAAACGAAAACAATAGTATTAAACTACGAATATGCTACTCCAACCAAAGAACCTCATCTCTTGTGATGAAAGGCTACCGAAATTTGTTGGGAATCAGTTGGAGGCAGAAAGTAAAGAACGAAACCATCAGAAATCAACATGGAAGACAGAAAAGTGTATATGACAAAGCCAGAGAAAGAAAATTAGGATTTTTTAGACACATGTGAAGAATGAGGGAATACAGATTGATTAAGATGGTACTAATGAGGAAAAGAGATTGGAAGAAAAAAGTTGGTAGACCTATAAAGAAATGGTTAGACGGCATTACTGAATGGACGGGTGTTGGTATTCTGAATTCAATAAAACTGGCCAAGATAGAAAAGGTTTTTGGAAAAAAAAAACTGTAAAAAGCATGCTTAGATGTACACCATCAGCCTCGACGGTTCCCTGGTGGACAAAGGAGGACCATTGATTGATTGATTTCGCTAATTAATTAACCCAACTGCCCACCTGAATATACTCCAGGTAGATTTAAAGACATCGTATAAATTTTATTTTCACAATTTTTATTTAACTAAAATTATTAATAAAAATAATAATATTTTGTTTAAAGGTTGTTAATTTTTTAATTAACTTTTATTAATTTTCAGTAAATTTATATTTAAAACGTTTAAAAAATGTGTTAAAAGTTAATCTAAATTAAACTAAAAGTAAATTTAAATGCAATTACTTTCCAATCAAGACCATTTGTATAAAGAATCATATAAATTTGATTCTATATAAATATTTATATATATTTTATATAAACTTATTCTATATAAATAAATATATATATATATATAAATATAAAATAAAATATATATATATATATATAATTAAAACTATAGGTGTCTTTCTTTCTGTTTTTCCTATCCCTGCATTTTACCAATGGTATCTATCTCTATTTTACCATCAAGGTTCTGGTAAAAGTTCAGTTATCAAAAGAAATTGGCGTAATTGCTAGCATCTGGTAGGGATGAGCGGACGTTCATCGTTCATGGCACGTTAAATTAGCATTAGGTGTAGTGTGCCTAGCAGACGCACTAAAAGATTCGTTTTTAAAAAGTCAAGAATATGTTGAAAATGATCATTGCACAATATAGATGATACATTTTTTATGAAGATAATTACAAACTTTTAGTTTTTAATTTATTCACATTTCATTTGTTTAATATATTTATTGTTGTGTATAAATAAGAGATTTGTCATTGATCTGATTGACCTGACCTGTTGAAAAACATATGGTAAATGGTAATTTTTTTTAAAATTAAAATTTAAAAATGTACTTCAATTCATTTTGTGTGCTATTAAATAATTACTTCATGTATGTGTGGCTTTGGCTGGTTTGGTTAATAAATTTTAATTTATTCATGTTGGATGATGCAGGTATGAAAATAAAATTAATAAACCCACATTTAAATTTCACCTACTTTTTTTGTTGCTAAATTTATTACATCTGCAACATTCTGATTGTTAACAAGTTACATTATTACATGATTTTGATTAAAAATTTAAGAGTGTTGACTGACTTATAATTTATTTTTATAGTTTAAAATTGTGATTTATCAGATATAAGATATATTTTAATTTTACTTTATATCTTTATCTTTCTTATTTATCTTATACCTAAATTATCTAAAGATTCTTTATCTATAAAATTTATATAATATAACTTATCTTATTTATGCCAGGTAAGTGATTTTCAGATTATGCTATGTATGTGTTCATTTATTTTGTTTAAGCTTCTTTTGTTATGTTAAATTTAATTAATTTAAACTATAATAATAAATTAAGTTTACTGCCTAATTAATTTAAAGTATATTTTGTTATTAATAAATTAACTTAATGCTCATTAATAATTGAATTATTTTTGTATCATTAATTTAGACTTCTGCTTCGACAGTCCACTGAAATATGGAAGATTCGTTGAGAAAAATTATCAAAGAGACCTCCAAGGTCTTGAGATATTCCAAGGTGCATGACACTGCCCACGACACACTCAGTAATTAATTCGAGATATTTTCATTTTCAGATTTTTATATATATTTCATTATTGTTTTATAGATTATTAATAAATAAATGAATAAATAATAATAATATATATATATATATCAATTCATTTGTTTTTGGCAAAATATTATTGCAATGTTATTTGACTTATTTTATTTTTAAATTTTAAAGTTTCGCTTTGTTTAAGAAATAAATTTTTTTATTTAAATTTACAAAAATTATTATAATTGTTAACTTAGGTATTAAGTATTAAATATTTTTGATGGGTTTCTTAGTTTATTATTCACCATATTGTTTGTTCCTTTTCAGGTTTTCTTGAACAAAATGTCAACTTCCTCTCCTACAAAAAATATCAAATCAGGTCAGCTCACTACCTTTCTAAAAGTTTTACAAAAATGTTGTGTCCAATGAGAAGCTGGATATGCCATTTAAGAATGATCAATCATGAAAATTGTTTTACAAAATGTTTCAAAAAATCATGAGCTAGGGGCAAAAAGTCATGAATGAACAATTTTTTAAATAATTGATAAGTTAAAATTAAATAATAAAAACTTGGCCAACAAACTTATCCTAGTAACATTTATATGGTGCTTTAGAAATTGTATCCTGTACAGGTTAAAATTAAATTAAAATAGACCAAAATGTTGGTGAATTAGTGAATTGGTGAATGATGAAAAATTACTTAGGGGGAGGTGTTTGGAGGCGTTCCAAACGGCCCTGGAGTCTAAGAACCAACGTTTAACCAGCTTTGCCATTGCTGGCATGCAGGTGAAGATGATGAGAATGGTGACGACAATGGTGATGACGTCATGAATGTGGTGATAATGTTGAGATTGGTTGCGACCATGTCCGGAATAACGATGATGATAATGATGATGATGATGATGATAAGGTTAGATGGGATGATAATGAAAAAATGTAAAATGGTGTTGGGAAGAAATAAAAATGTAAATATAAAATATATGGTTATTGTAGTAAAACGTTTTGAGAAATATTATAATTTAAAAGTATAAATAATAAAAATAATTTGACATCAGCAATTAGTTTGCTTTCCAAATGATATAATATGCTTAAAACGTCAGATGATGTTGAAAGATGAAAGGATGACGTCATCCAAAGAGATGATGACGTTTGAAGAGGTTGACCACTGGTACCCCATACAAATGCTGAATGCTCTGCATTGTGCTAACATGCTTGTTGAAGAGGTCCAAGTTGAAGTTATGAGAGTTAGTCGTGTGTGATCATGATGGTGATTATAATGGTGGTAGGTGATGGTCATGTGATAGGATGATGATGATGATGATGGGATAGGATGATGATGGGATAGGATGATGGAATGTTATCATCATTGTTTTTTATATCTTCCCATTGGTCAATTTTTGAACCAAATATCCATCCATTTATTGAGGCATTATTTATTTTTCAATGCATTTATCCTGCAAAACAGTAACACATTCGTCGTTAAATCATTCATCCATTGCACGCGCATTCATCCATTTTTATTCCTCCTCATGCATCATTCGAAAATGTATCCCAAACGTTCATCTGCTGTTCAAATGAATTTTAATTTAGTCCATCCATCTTCATTTTCTTCTTATCCATCTAGCTATCATCCATTCATCTTTTCTCTTTTTCTGGCACTCGTCTGTTTGTTCAAACATCTATCCAAACTTTTATCATTTGTGTAATGTTCATCCATTTCTATCTATCTTTCCATCTTTCAAATGCTCATTAAATTATCCATCTATCCATTTATCTTATCCATCCATTCATCATCCAATCAAACAAATCAATCAATCCTTCTTTCATTTCTTTTCTTCCATCACTCAAAGGTTCATTCATTCATTCGTTTCTTTCGTTTGTTCATTTGTTCGTTCGTTCATTCATTCATTCATTCGTTTGTTCATTCATTCATTCATTCATTTATTCATTCATCTTTTCATTCATTCATTCTCTTTTTCCATCCACCATTCCACCTCCCGGCCCACGCACAGCTGATATTAAACATGACCATGACCTTGCCTCAGTGCATGACAGCTGCCGTCATCATCAACATCGTCAAGGTTTGTTCACTTTGCCTCAGCTGTATCATCGTTATCATCATCGTAATTTATGATATCATCATCATCATTAATATTATCATCACCATTAATGTTATCAGCTTCGTAGTTAATGATATAACAATCATATAGAAGTAGAAGAAGAAGATGAGGATGATGATGATGATGATGATAATGATGGTGATGGAGACGATGATGATGGTGATTTATTATATTTATTAATTATATTATTAATGAGTAATTAAAAATTTCTAAACATGCTTGCTCACATCTGGATTCCAACATATTAATGATGATGATGATTGTGACGATGATGATGGTGATGATTGTGACGATGATGATGGTGTTGATTATGATGATTGTGATGATGATGATGATGGTTATGATGATTGTGATGATGATGATGACCGCGATGCTCTGTGGACGTAACGACATTGTTGGTCCTGGTGATTTGGGACGTGATGATGTGACGAAAACATCCGCTACGATTAAAACGCCGACGACGACGATGATGTCACTATTTAACGATCGATGACGTCATCAGACGTGTATCGACTGCCTGACCAACAACAGCAAGCAGACCGCCAAGAACTTCATCTTCAACACGTTCTTGAGGGCCACTCACATGTTCGCTGTTAAGTCCTCTGAGGCTAGCGACGCTGCTGAGGTTCTGCCGTAGCAGCTGCTGCAGCAGCTGCTGTTGTTGATGATGATGATGATGCGAAAATGATGATGATGATTGCGATGGCGATGATGATAATGATGACGCCGATAGGCAGGTGGTGATGGGCGTTCATGAATTGTTCAACGTTTATCGATTTCATCAGCTATTTTCTTAACTTACGCTGCGTATTTTATGGCGGAGGTTTTTCAGTTTTAAGACTCAGTTTTTTTTATATTCGTCTTTTTCATTTAACGACATATGCATGAGTTTTTTCTGTTTTGCCGCTTGGGTAGGTAGTAACTTTGAAGATTCATTAATTTATTCAATAGTTTCTATTTTTCGTTAATTAATTAATTAGTTAATTAATTAGTTAATTTATTAATATTTTGGTGCGTTTGCATTTTTTATTCAGTTGTTTGCTTTCTTTCCTTTGCGTCTGTGATTGTTAAATTTTTTGGTTCAAGTCATTTTGCCTCGTTGACTGGTCTGTTTCTTGTGGCCTCTTTGAATATTCGAACTGTCTCCGTGAATAAATTTGAGGCCAGTGAAGATGTCGTTAATGATGGGATGTTGTAGGCAGGTGCGTACGCGAGCGAGAGTGGCCTACCGAGTTGAGATGGTGTAAATTAGAATGTTGAACGAAGCTTGCAGATGATAGCAACGTCATTATTTACTGAAAAACATTCATGCAATTGAATGTTTATGAATGAATGTTTATGAATGAATGAATAAATATATGTATGGATGAATGAATAAATGAATAGATGGATGAGTGAATGAATGAATGAATGAATGGATGTTTATGAATGAATTTATGGATAAATGAGTGAATGGATGGATGGATGGATGGATGGATGGATGGATAGATGGATGGATGGATGGATGGATGGATGGATGGATGGATGGATGAATGAATGTGATGAATATTCCTTGGAGGAAGAGTAACTCAAAATGATTTCTTAACAAGACCTCATTGCACGTTTCTGTAAACATTCACACGTTTTTAAGTTGTAATCATGGTGCTACTTAATTTCAACTCACTGCATGCACTGGTCAACTTTTCATTTCACGTTAGGTTGGATTGGTCGACGATGCTAACAACAATAATAATAACTTGATAAATCATACAGCACTAGAGATGAAATGTTGTTTATGGAGCGATAATGATGATGACGACTGTGACGACGATGACGTCATTGCAGATAATGTTAGACATGTACCACGTGACCGGCGATGTGAATGTTAAGACTGCCATCAGGGGCACGTTCAGTCACGTCCTGTCCATCGTTAACGATTCAATGACCAATGAGAGAGATGATGATGGTGTGAGGGTCAGTAGTCTTATCTGTTCTCTCTCTCTCTCACTCTTTCGTTTCTTCTCTCTTTTTTCTGTTTGTTTCTCTTTATGTCTTTCTCTCTCTTTCATTCTTTTTCTCTCTTTCTTTTCAGAATTTCTTTCCTAAATATTTTCATATTTCTCCATTTTTTTTCAACATTTTGTTCATTCCATGTGTCATTCTTACGTTTTCAAATATTTTTTTTCACGTTATTGAAATCTATTCCCATTCAGTTCTTTGATTTCATTTCATTTGATTTGATTTGATTTTACGTTACTTTCACTCATATTTCACCATAAGTCATTAGTTATTAAGTCTGGACTTTCTCCACAAACCTTGCATGCTACTTCCCGTTCACTTGCACGAGCTAACATTGAGACCTTAGACTAACTAACTCTCGTATATTTTTATTATAATTTTTTAAAACCACCTTCACCACTTTCACCGCCTACCAAAAAGGTAAAAAAAAAATCTGAACCGTCAAAAGTTGGCTGTAGCGATAAGGACGAAGATACTGCTGCTGCTGCTGCTACTACCTCTACTACTACCACCACTACTACTACTACTACCATTACCACTAATAATAATAATAATAATAATGACATTACACATGGTGTTGATAATGGTGAAGTTGTTGGTGACGTCTTAACAAATGCCGAACAGGCAGCAGAATTAGAACCAGTTTACAAGGGTGATGATGATAATAATATCTGCACTGGTAGGGTTGCTACTGGTGGGATTAGAGATGAGAGTGCTAGAGATGACATCAGCGGGGCTATTAATGGCAGTCTGAATAACAACACAATGCTTCAAACACCATCACAACCATCATCGTCGTCGTCAAAATCATCGGCAAGTCAGTTGAGTCCAGCGGATAATGACTACTTGGCTATCTTCCAGTACCTGTGTGACTGTTTATCGTCGGTAGCAGGTCTGAGCAGTCCGTGTGAATCCCTGATCCTCGAGGGACTCCTCATTCTCGTATCCAGGCTGCCTACGAGTATCTGTAACTTGCCCACTTTTCAGGATCTTATCTGGTCAGTGGCTATGTGTGCGTGTTTCACTCACTCATAATTACTATCTCACTGTATGTTTCCCTCATTTATAATCACTATCTCACTTTTTAGTTATGTTACGTTACGTTATTTCGCTGCAAGTCTTTCTCACTCATATCTATCTCACTTTGACCTCCACGCCCTCCGCAACATTTCCACAGGCAGAAACTTTGCCCCTCCCTCATCAGCATTCTCACCAATCCGGTGAGCGACAAATTCGCCATCGTCTCCAAGGTATCCATGACAGCCGCTGGGAGAGAGAGTGAGATTGGGAGGGGCTCGGCCAGCATCTCCATGCCGCCCGTCGCATCTTCCGTTTCGTCTAAGACTATTTATAGGTACGTCTTCTCATTCATTTGTCTACTCTTCCATTCATTTAATTTTTCATTTCTCTCAATTTCCATTTATTCATTTTTTCATTCTGTCATTCATTCATTCCTTTATTCATTCGTTAAAATATTATTGCTCGGGTTTTACTTAAAAGACTTGTTGATATGACCGTCATTCGTTCATCTCATTCGTTTGTTTGTTCATTAGTTTATTTGTCACTGATGAGATTTGTTGTGTCAAGTTGAGTTTGTTATGTCATGTTATACTATGCCATGTTATGTCATGTCAGGTCATGTCAGGTCCGGTTTTGTTGTGTTATCATTCCTTACAGTTCATCATCACCACTTATTACCAGTCCAATCAACCAACCAACCAATCAATCAAATACATTTGTATAGCTGCATTTCTATAGTTCAATGACGCTCCAGCCAAATTAACCAAATAAAGTGTTTCCAACCAACTAAATAGTAATAATAATAATGAAGTTGCATCGATACAGCATCTCCATCAACTTGGTCCGAAGCATGGGCCACCTGAGAGCCCTGAGACCCGTGTTCGAATCCCTCTTCCACCGCATGCTCCTCTACCCGGCTCCCATCTACAGGATGGATGCCGTCAAATCTGTTAAGCAGGTGGGTGGTGGTGGTGGTTTTTATGTTGATGATGATGATGGTAGTGGTGTCGATGGTCGCGGTGGTGATGACAGTCGCGATGATGTCGATTGTTAATGTAATGATGACCAAGATGATGATGATGATGACGCTGATGATATTAATGCTGACAGTTAATGCAACAATGATGATAATGATGGTGGTGGTGGTGGTGATAGAATGGAGGTGGTAATTATGATGAGGAAAAAGTTTGTTAAAGGATGGCTTTCTGGCAGAGCGTTTGAGTCGGTCGTAGTTGGAGCTTTTGGAGGACTGGAGTCAGATTTTTTCATCTGACTTCGAAAAATGTTATTAGTTTAAATAAAAAATTTTTTCTAAAATTTAATTTAAAATCCTGTTTTTTAAAAGACTGATGATAAATGCAACTAATGCGAATTAAATCACAAGATCTTTTTAGTCTTTTAAACCATAAAAATAAATCAATTTTACTAAGAAAGACGATTACCTTGACTGATTTTAAGATTTTTTTAACGTACTTTTCATTTTGTACTGTTAATAAAGTGAAATTGTGATGCAAAAGTCGAAAATTTTTTTGAAAGTCTGAACCTGGAGTCAGAGTTAGAAGACGGAGTCGGAACTTTTTATCTGGAGTCGGATTTTTTCGAGAGTGACGGAGTCGGATATTTTCATCCGACTCCGTCACTCTGCTTTTCGGCAAATATGATAATAAATAAGATGAGTAGATAATTAAAATGAAAGTGAAGATGGTTTTTTGAAACTAAACAATTGTGCTGGTTCTTGTTCATTTTTTTGTTCCTCTTACGCTGGCATTGGTTTCAGCAGCTAGTTTTTGTCACAATCTTCCGTTTAATATTTCCCAGAGATGTCAACAACAAAGACACATCGTATGTAAATATGCATGAATCAAAGCATCAAAGATAGGCAGGAATTCCTTTGCATTCCAACCCAGTCACTGTAACAGTGGTGTCGGGTGCCTTAGTCATTACACTACCGCCGTTGTTGCTGTTGTTGTGGTTTATGTTTTTATATTATTTTCTGATATTATCTCAATATCTTTTATAAGTTTTAAAAGGGCTTTTACCAATTTTTTTGTAATTGTCAGCTGATAACGTCAACCGACGATTTGTTAGTGCTATGTGGTCCAACAACTGCAAGTTCATCAACATCATCAACGACCATAGCATCATCTTCATCGTCGTCGTCACTGTATGGCTCGTATGCCAGGAGGAAATCGGAGGAAGACTTGAGACTTCTGAAGATGTTGGTGTCGATCCATGTAGTGTATATATCGCATTTGTTGTTCAGTTTTTTATTTTTTGCTGTATTGCTGTGAAGTTTTTTTTGGCGGGAAGAAATTTAACATGCATCTGTCAGGCGGACGAAAATTGATTTACTCCAATTTTAAATTATCATATCTTTGGAAGAAATAAATGTGCGTAGAAGATTTGTTCTTGTATTTTGTGTGGAAACAGCATGCAAGAATTATTATGTGTTGTTATACGCCGTATTTCATTTAACTTTTTACTTCCCGACAGATTTATCGATTCTCTAGAAGAATGCAGTCAATCAAACGACACGACGATTGTATCGGCCAGCGTAGATCTCATAAATGACCTACTTTCAACTATTGAATCTCTTGTCTATGGTCATGTGACTGATAACAATGGTCATGTGACTGATGATAGTGGCAGTTAGTAACGCGCTGAATAAATAATAAATAATTATTTGTAACATTTTGGTCGGTACTACAGTCTGAAATGGTGAATGTCAATTTATTTGTGATTAATCTTCTTGGCATTCGCACCGCAATGTTGTCATAAGATTATAATAGTGATATTTGTTTGCATTACATGACGCTAGAATTCACGAAGTCTGGGCCACATTCTGGTGATGACGTCAAAAATATTGCTGACGACGTTTCGGACGACAAAACAGTTTTTAGTCAAGATAATTGCACTGGCATCACCAACAAAATCAACAACAAGACCAACAATAATATTAACAATGACAACAACAAAATCAACAACAACACCAACAATAATATTAGCAACGACAACAACAACACATCTAGCAGCACGCAATCTGCTGACGAGGAGTTTGATAGCATCAACGTTATCAACAACTCACAGGAAGTAACAAATGATTTTCTCTGCTCAAAGTACATCAGAGAGTTGAAGGATTTGGTTGGGCAATTGATGGAGTGTCGAACCGTCGTGCAGTGTGATGAACGTGTGGTCAGGTTCGCTTCTGCATTTTGTGCTGGTCAGTTTGTTGTTCCGAGTGAGTTATTTACGTCATGTTTCGAATGTTTGCGCTGCTGTGGTTTGAGCTGCTCTGGCTTGCGCTGCGGTGGCTTGCGCTGCTGTGGCTTGCGTTGCTGTGGTTTGAGCTGCTGTGGTTTGAGCTGCTGTTGTTAATAGTTATTTCTTTTTAATCACGTCTTTATTCTGTAGCATGGAATAATTGGATTGGTACATCTGTCTGAGTGTAGACTTCATTGATCTGCTCGATTGATGACACGATGAATGAGTGATTTTTATGGGATGGAACAAATAATAAATATATCAAACAGAATATAACAGCAGCAGCAGCAGTAGCAGCAACAACTTCATCAACGATCGAATGATATTGAACGCCGACGCAGTATACGTCATCACTTACTCTTCCATCCATCTGTCAATATCTCTCCTCCAGTCTGGTTACCATGACAACGCCGAGAAAAGTCTCCCCATTACACTGGTAATTAGGAGGATGGTGATGATGATGAAGGTGATGATGATGATGAAGGTGATGATGAGGATGATGATGAGGAGGAGGAGGTTGATGATGAGGATGATGATGAGGAGGAGGAGGTTGATGATGATAAATGATGATGATGTCCTGATAAATAAATATGACTATCATCATCATCGTTTATAATGGCTATGATGTAATTATAGTGATACATTGTTGGTTAATAATTATTTTATTTATAACTATTTTAATTATAATTATTATATTTATAATTATTATATCTCTAGTTGTTGTATTTATATTTATTATACGAGCTACAGCGGATCAATCTTTCAACATTAAAAAATAGCAAATTTTCCTTTTAACTTGATTAATGTATAATCGTAAATTGATTGCGCGTGTAGATTTAGACGTAAATCGAAATACGAATTTGAAAATTCCAATAGAATAAATTAAATTAAAATAAAAAAATAACGGAATAAGAATATAAAAAATATGATAAAAAAAATTGTAGAAGCAGTTCAAGGGAGAGATACTGGACGTGGGGTTGCTGCTGTTTGTATCTCGATCTTGGCTGGATGATATCTTTAAAGCATTGATATCATCCGATGTTCTTGGGCTCTCTGGATACTTCGTGAATTTTGATGATGACGGTTTGAAGAACTGTGCTATGCTGCGTCTGATCAATGGTTAGTTGGCTGGCTGGCTTTCCGGTTTGTTTGTTAGTTGGTCGGCTGGCTGGCTGGCTGTCTGGTTTGTTTGTTAGTTGGTCGGTTGGCTGGCTGGCTGTTTAGTTCGTTTGTTAGTTGGTCGGTTGGTTGGTTTGTCGGATGGCTGGCTGGTTGGCTGGTTAATGAATTCACTGGTTGATTGGCACAGTCAGGTGAATGAAGATGGATTGATCAGCTTGTAAAACGACATGCTGGTTGATGTATCTATTTTGGATTTAACTTTCTCAGAAGCAATTTATAACTTTGTAATTTGGACATCTGATCAGCCAGGCTGTTTCAAATGAACAGATGCGAATAGCACGACTGACTGATTGGTTGATGATTTCGTTTCAGACATTCGAGGAGGTCTGTGCAGTAGTGGGATGCCAGCGCATCTCTTGAGCAAGTATCAAATAGGATGCCACTGTGATGACGACGAAGATGACGATGATGAGTACGAGAATGGAAAGGTTGATGATGACTTCACGCGTGATGACAAAGTTGAATGTAGTCGTGGCCATGTAAAGAAATGCAGCGAAAAAGATGGAAATAACGATAACAACAACAACATCAACAGCCACAAATACCAAATAGCAATCACCGGCAATAAATACCTCACCAACCTTACCAAACAAGGTTTGTGAGATTTTTCTTTCTATTTGACTTAATGATGTTGACAGTTTACAAATGATTGGCACCGTTAAATGGAGTGGCGTTTCTACTGATGCTGATTTTAATAAAATCAACGCTGTTACAAAAAGTTTGGAATTAATTTTTTCAGCAACTATTTTTAGTTTTATTGGTGTTTTAGTCTTCTTGCGTGTGCCATGAAAACCTTCCAGATAATTCCATTCCGATAAATTTAAAAACGCAGACGTGCACTTACTGTGCGCCAACGTGCTGGCGACATGTTGGGATGCGGTCCTCAGCATCCTGACGGCACTGACCTCCAACAAAGAGACAAACATCAACTTCTCCAACCTGCTGCTACTCTTCAACAGTAAGGAAGAAACAAGGAAGATCAGGTAGATGCTTGCTTTGCTTCAGTGCTCTTTGTTGCTGTCTGTCCATTCTATTTAATATAATTTTCGTACGTTGTTGTGGCTGTCGTTGTTGTGGCTGTCGTTGTTGTTGTTGTGGCTGACGTTGTTGTGACTGTCGTTATTGTTTTTTTGTTGTTATTTGACAGATGGAAAAGTGTTATTGAAAAGAAAGGGTTTAAAGTTAATATTGGTAAGACGAAGGTAATGGTGAGTGGGGAAGGTGGGGAGCAAGTGATAAGTAAAATAGACCCCTGTGGGGTATGTGACAGGAGAGTGAAGGCTAACTCGGTATTGTGTATAGGATATAAGTGGGTGCATAAGAGATATTGTGGTGTGAGGGGGGCACTGAAAAAGGTGGAAGGCACGTTCAAATGTAAGAAATGTGTTCATGGTGTGATTAATAGGACGGACTCAAGGACGGGGTTGAGTGGTGGTATTGAAAGAGTGGAAAGCTTTGTTTATTTAGGGGTTAAGCTGAACGCGGATGGAGGATGTTTGAGCGTTGTTACGACTAGAGTTCGTGTGGGATGGATGAAATTTAGGGAACTTGGTGGGGTATTGTGTGGAAAGAAATGGTCAGTGAAAATGAAAGGGAGGGTATATAAAGCTTGTGTGAGAACAGCGATGGTATATGGTGGTAAAACTTGGGTGTTGAGGAGAGAGGAGGAAAGTGTACTGCAGGGGGCTGAAAGAGCTATGGTGAGGATGATGTGTGGGGTTAAAGTGAAGGATAGGAGGAGTAGTACAGAGCTGATGTTGAGGATGGGACTGAATGAGGACATTGTGACATTGATAAGGAGATAGAGATTGCGGTGGTATGGACATGTGTTGAGAAGGGATGAAAGGGTCGGGATTAGGCGAGTGTTGGAGTTCGAGGTTGAAAGAGTGATAGGAAGAGGTTGTCCGTGATTGGGATGGAGGGAGCAGGTGGAGAAGGACATAGTGAAAGCGGGGTTGCGTGATACTGAGGCGATTGACAGATTTGAATGGCGTCGAGGGGTATTTCGGTTTCATCATAGGTAGCCAAACGGCAACCCCCGATCTCGGGGAAAATGTCGTCTAAACGTGTGTTGTTGTTTGCTGTTGTTGTTATTGTATAATCATCAGTACTATTTCTATATAACGACTGTTTCTAACTTAGATTTTCAAGTCATTAAATATTTTATAAGTGGTTGGATTGTTATTGTTATATTTATCATTCATTCATTCATCATTTAATGAGATAATTTGTTTAATTCACTCGCTCAAACATTCTTTCATTTTTTATCCTTCATTCAATCCACCCATCCATCCATCCATCTATGTAACGTGCAGGCAGGCGATATGCTTGAGTTTGGAAGGGCTGAGGAGGGCAGCTAAGTTGGCGTCTGTACTTGGTGAGGTGACGATGACGATGATGATGACGATGATGATGACGATGATGACGACGACAACGACGATTGATTTGATGACGCTAACAAACGAAACAGGCCTGCAAGACAAGTGCAGCTGCATATTCGCCCACCTGGCCACAGCTTCGTGTGTCGTCGAACTGGAGGACATCAAGAAGGAGCGACAGCAGTCCCAGCAACTTGCTCAACATTCCAACATCAGTGACGTCAAAACTTCAACATCCCAGCCATCTTCCTCATCGTCGTCATCATCATTCCTTTCCAATCTAACCGGTAACAAATCGTCTCTATCATCAACACTTGCATCGTCATTACCTGCATCCCTCTCATCGTCATCGTCATCGTCGATATTGGGGGGCCACAAACCCCGCCTGGCCCGCCTACACGCCGCCCACGTGCTCAGCATGGATGTTCTTCTCAGCATCGGGCTGGAGATGGGAAGCCAGTCCGGGGATTGCTGGAAACATGTATTCAGGTTTGTGTATGTCGTTCTCTCTCTCTCTCTCTTTAACTCCCTATCCTCTCTCTCTCTCTCTCTCGCTCTCTCTCTCTCTCTTTCTCTCTTTCTATCTCTCTCTCTCTCTCTCTCTCTCTCTCTATCTCTATCTCTCTCTCTATCTATCTCTCTCTCTCTCTCTCTCTCTCTCTCTCTCTCTCTCTATCTATCTCTCTCTCTCTCTCTCTCTCTCTATCTCTCTCTCTCTCTCTCTCTCTCTATCTCTCTCTCTATCTTTGTGTGTGTGTATGTGTGCATTCAAGTTTGTATTGTGGTTGCGTGTGTGTTGTTATATATGTGTGTGTGTTCAGGTTTGTGTGCGTGTTTGTGTGGTTGTGTGTATGTTTCCGTGTCTTTGATAGTATTGCATTGACGATGAATAGTTGATATAGTTTCAACACAAGCCGTCGTTGTTATTCAAGCAAGACTATTACCCATCCCACTGTCAAATCACATCAACCTTTGACACGAATGCAGATGCTGCAGTCACATATCTGAGTTGGAACACACGTACTTCAGCATCAACAGCAGCAGCGACACGCCAAACAGCCACAACCACAACAACATTACAACGCTGCTGGTTCAGAAGCCTGCTGATTTCAACAAGGGAGATTACATAACCGATTTTGATGGCATTGAGTTGGTGTTCATCATTCTTTGAATGGCTGGCTAACTGATTAGCTAAAAACCTTTCAGAATTTTAGAACTTGAATGATACAATGGTTAAGGTATCTGGCACTGTTCTTGCAGTGACTGGGTTTGAATGCAAAGAGATCCTCACCCGATCACATGCAATGTTTGTGATACATAAACTCATATGTATTTACGTGCGGTTTGTGTTTGTAGTTGATACCTCTGAGGAAAGCATGAGAGGGAACTGTTGGAAAATTGTCACCAATCTTTCAGTAACTCAGCTGACTTGGCGACGGTGGCCATGGTGGCTATGACGACATCCGGACCTCTCACACCACGCATCAACGTGCGTGACGTCATCGAGCAGAGTCGTCTGCAGCGTGGGTGGGACGTGGCGGGGGGAGGAGTCCTGGATCACGTGCAGGCTGCCAAGGTGCTCTGTGGTCTGTCGCAGCTTGTTGACAAGTTGGTACCGACGTTGCATGTTGCGATGAATTTGTGAGACTAATGTTAAATAGTCTCAGTTTATGGTTATATTTTTAATTTCATATTTATGTGCACGTATATAAATGACCAAGATTGTACGATGATGCTGTGAAGAGGTTGAACATGGCCTCCCTTCTGACCTTCCTCACCGAACTCTGCAACTCAAGTGCACAACAACTCTCAACGTACAACAACAACAACAACAATGTCGAATCAACAACTCCTTCTTTAAGCAGCAACAAATTCATCAAAATTGACAGCAACAGCAACTCAACTCTAACAAGTTGGCCAAACAGCAACACCAACAATTCCTCATCAGCTCTCCTCTGTAACATCAACTCACCAGCACCACTACCAGCAGCAGCAATAACAACAACAACAACCACAACAACTGGTGGAACGTCATCAACGTTGCCGACAAATGCATTGTTGTTATTCAGGTTGGGGGATGTAATGAACGCCCTGGTCTCCAGCGACAGACCCCTGCTGCACATCATGAGGGCGTGGAGTGTGGTGGCCGGCCATCTCATTTACGTGCGTCTTTTCCTCTTTGTTCGTTTGTTCCTCTTTGTCTTTGTGTTTGTTTGCTTGCTTGCTTGCTTGCATCTCAACGTCAGTGTGTGCGTGTGCGTGCCACGCTCATGTTAGAAATTGTAGTAAATTATAATAAATATTCATGACATGACTCGTTATAAATTGGTGATTAGAAAAAAGTATCTACAGTTTTTATCTTTTTATTTGTGTTTCGATTGGCGTTCCATTATTTTGGGCAATTTTTTTCAATATCAACTTAAACAAATTTTCTTGTAAATCCGATTAACACTTGAAATTGAAACATTTTCAATGTTATATTTCGCATTTTATTAAGAAATTACGATCATATCCTATTTACATGACATAATGGGTAGTAGCAAGGTGGTGTAGTGGTTAAAGCGCCTGGTCCTGCTGTTGCAGTGACCGAACTCGAACGCAGGGATATCCCCAGCCGTCAGATGCAATGGGTGCGGGGCGTTGATTCTCTGAGGATTAGTTAAATTAAGAGGAAATGTTCAATGCAATCTGCAGTCCTTCGAGAACTCTTGAAGAACGAATTTTTAATTATAGTAATAATATTCAAATCAAATCACTTTTATTCAATCAAACAAAACAAAAAAATATGTATAAACGATTTGGAAACCAAAAAAAGAAAATTAATTCTTGTGGGCTCGGCCACCGTGAATAATAATAATAATATTAATTGTTAAAATATTACAACAACAACAACAACAACAATAATAATAATAATTATTCGATTATCGTAGATTTTAAATACATTTCATTATAAATTCATCTGAACAGACATTCTTTTTATCATTTGATTTCTTATTCTGACGAGATGTTTAATGAGTTCGTTTCCGTTATTACATTATAATAATTTACATAATGAATATGCATTTTTTTCTGACCACGAAGGCCGCCCAACACAGAGACCACACGATCTCGAAGAAGGCCGTGGCCTGCCTGCATGACGCCATCACCACGATACTCGGTCGCAGGTTCGAATGCACGCACTTCCACTTGAACGAATTCCTCTGCCAACCATTCGAACACCTCCTCAAGCTGGAAATGTGTGATGGCGACGTGCAGGATCAAGTGAGAGAATGCATGAATGGATGGATGAATGAATGAATGAATGAGTGAATGAATTAATGGATGGGAAGTTGAGAGAGCTCTGTGGAGCGATTTAGGGTTTGATTTAGCGAATAGATGAATAATTGAGTGATTTAATGAGTCGATGAATGTATGGAGGCTACTTGAAAAAGTGACATTACAGTGTAGAAAATTTAGCGAAAATTTAAGATAGCGGACCATTCTTCCCTACCTGAATTCTTATAACTTTGCAAATAAAAATATACCTAAATAAAGAAATTGACCCTCTAATTTGGCGCAAAAAGTTGATGGCAAAGAAAACAACGTCCTTCCTCGGGTAACCGGGACTCTGGACGCAAAACGAAGATTGATTGATTGATTTGAAAGAAATTGATTACCGGTCATGGAACACACACACGTGCGCGCGCACACACACACGTGCGCGCGCACACACACACACACACACTGCTATGTACACTCACATAAGCACTCATGACACACACGCATGCACACACCTATATGCACAAACACAGATCGTTTGTTCAATATGTGAGCTGGTAGAAGCTTACCCCTCGAACATCAGAAGTGGGTGGAAGCCCCTGTTCGGGGCTCTGCGAGCCGTGAAAATCCGCCACGAATGCATCGAAAACGTTGACGACACGCGACGGCGACACGTTGCTGCAGTGCTGGACGTGTTCGACGCCTTCCTGGCGGCTGATGATGTGGTTGTGTTTGCTGACGCTGCTGTTGAGTGCGTTTTGTGTCTCCTCAAGTACGTCAAGGGATCAAGTGAGTGTTTCCCCTGCTGGATCGTGATGGTGATGACTGACGACGATGGTAATGGTAATGGTGGTACGGTGGCAATTATGGTGATGACGAGGATGATTATGGTGGAGATGATTGATTGATTGATTGATTGATTGATTGATTGATTGATTGATTGGTTGATTGATTGATTGATTGATTGATTGATTGATTGATTGATTGATTGATTGATTGATTGATTGATTGATTGATTGATTGATTGATTGATTGATTGATTGATTGATCGTTTGACGGCGATTCGGCACGGTTATCGGCTATCTTCTAGCCTTTGGAATTTTACGTCATTCGCTTCTCACTTGTTTCTTTGCTAATAATGTTTTGTTGTCGGTGTTGTTTGTTGCTGTTAGCGTCTTTATTATTGATGTTGATTTTGTTGATATAAATTTTCATCTTTGTAGTTTGTATTTCCAGATTTTGTTCTGGATTTCTATTTCTGTAATGAATAGAAGTATTACTTACATTGGGGGTATTTTGGTCATAGAACTAATTTTGAATGTCTTTTAGACATTGGGGTTTTCTTCTGAGTTGGTCATATTTTGGTCATTATGCGAGTGAGTAATTGGGACCACCAGATGTTGTTTGCATATTTGGGAGCCTGATCGTTTACCCATCCAGTGGACATGAATACGTAACTATCACACATTTGACAACTTAATCGTCAACACATCATCACATCATCCCATCACTTGTACATCATCACCATTATCACAATTTGATTAATTAATTATTATTATTATTATTCAATCGTAATTTTCATCATAATTTTTGTTTCACTCTCACAAACAACACCGACAGAAGAATTTGAAAAAGCGCTCAGCAGTGATGACGACGATGATGATGACGATGACGACTGTCACTCGACGTCATCATCGTCAGGAGAGGTCCACAAGGATCTCTGCTTTCCCGCCCTCAAGTACCTGAAGAAGTGCGCCACCTACCTGTCCACCATGTGGTCACTCAACAACTGCCCTGCGTTCGACGGGGTTCAAAGGTTAACTGGGTCAAGGTTAACCGGGTCAAGGTTAATTGGGTCAAGTCATTTTTCAACGGTGTCTGAATTTGTTGGTTTCTTGGGTTTGTGGTTGGTAGGAGTTAACGTTTTGTTTTTATTGAGGATGGTATCTTATCTTTGAGAGGTGTTGTGATGACGATGATGATATTGGAGGATGCTACTGACGGTGATGCTGATGAAGATGATGATAATGACGATGATGTCAGTCGATGATGATGATTATGATGGTGATGATGTTGTCAGATGATTGTGATTGTGTCGGTAATGAAATTGAGATCAGTGAGGGTAAGACCGTGAACTGTGATTTTATAATCTCAAAATACGAAAGTAATCACTGTCAACAAACAATTGGGCGAGCGTCTAATATCCAACCAACTATCCAATCCAACCAACTATCCAACCATCTGTTCAACCAACCAACCAACAAAACAACCATCTAACTAATTAACCATCCAACCAACTAACAAACCAACCAACTAATCAAACATCCAATCCAACCAGCTAACTATCTATTCAACTAACAAACCAACCAACCATCTAACCAGCCACCCAACTAACCTTCCAACCAACATACCAACTACACAGAATCCACTGCAACCACCACAAAATGGATAACATCCAACTCACATCGCACGGCATGGATATCCAAATGTTCAAAAAAACCTTCTACTTTAATGGAGACGCTGACGACAATGGGGATGACAACCATGTTAACGATGATGATAATAGTAATAGAAGTAATGATAACGATCCTACTGCTGCTACTACAAATGTCATAGTTGATAACATTGATTATGTTCATAAGACTAATATTGTTGTAAAAGATGAAGTTGATGCAACGACTATCACTGCTGCAACTACTGCTGCTACCACTACTGCTACTGCTGCTACTACTGCCGATGAAGCTACCACTAATGCTACATTTTTTAACGATAAAACTGAGAAGGCTTTTTATGAAAACAAAGTCAGCAACGACATCTGCTTGAGTGATGCCGACCGACACAATTACAGCATGGATGACATTAAGACATCAGCTGGCACCATCAACAACAACAACAACAGCAACTTATATAAAATCGCTGACGACAAGAGTGATAACAACACAAACAACAACGTCAACAACACAAACAACAACATCAACAACAACACAAACAACAACATCAACAATAACACAAACAACAACATCAACAACAACGCAGATAGCATAAACAGCAACAACAGGTTACTGGATAAACTGCAAGAGACAGCTGATTATCACGAGAGCATCTTTGAAAGAATTATAAACAACATCAACAATAACATGAAGCTCGGTTTCAACAACAGACGCGACAACATCATTAACAACAACAACAAAGCAAACAATAACAATGACAACAACACAAATAACAACATTAATGTCAACTACGACTATACAAACAACAACGACAACAACGTCACTGATAACAACAACAACGTCATTGTTAACAATACAAACATCATTAACTCAGTCACCGATCATACTAACGATAATAACAATGATAATGAACTCTGTACTAAAGATGACCATTTGAATGATAACATTGCTAACAGGAACAATGTTACTGGTGATAACTCTGATAATAATAATAGTAATAATAATGATAATGATAATAATGATAATAATAATACTGATGATAATAATGATAGTAATAATAATAATAATACTGATGATAATGATAATAATGATAATAATAATAATGATAATAATGATGATGACAATGAAATAAGTAGTGAGGCCACCAGCGAACAATCAAAACGCGGTGATGAAATTAGCAAAGAACTCACCCAGAATGATGACGTGAAAATCGAGCACGATGACGTCAGAGATGCTGCTGCTGCAACTTCTACCGCAGCTACTACTGCTGCCACTTCTGCCGCAGCTGCTACTACCGCCGTTGATGATGATAATAAGGTTGCTGTTGGTGGTGGTGGTGATAGTGATGATGATGACGATAGAAATATGAGCCAGGATATAAACAGCGGAAACTACAGTTCGTGCATCAGCAACGATGATGATGATGAAGATGATGATGAGGAGGATGATGATGATGATGATGAGGATGGTAATGATGATGGTGACATCAACGAACTTTGCAGTAGAGATTATTGCGATGACGTGGTCAAGGGGAAGCGTTCGTCGCTGGTCTACATCGACGCTGTGGAATTAATGGGTGATGGGGATGATGGTGGTGAAGATGATGGTGAAGATGATGGTGAAGATGATGGTGAAGATGCTGAAGATGATGCTGAAGATGGTGGTGGTGGTGGTGGTGGAGGTGATGGCCATGATGTTATGGGTGATAATATTGGTGGTGGTCACGATGTGGATGAGGTTGGTGTTGGTAAGAATGGTGTTTCCAATGGTAAAATACATAAGAACGATAATAACAATAGTAATTGTTATAATAATAAGAATAATATTAATAATAGGAGTAATAATAATAATAATGATAATAATAATAATAGAGCTAGCGAAGGAGACGATGCAAATGTATCTACTAATACTATAATGAATAACAATAAAAATGATGACAAGAGGATTGATGACGATGATCCATTGTCATCATCACCAACACCATCATCGCAACTTTTTAATACTGGTGCTCAAACAATTGCCTTGCCAACTTCATCATCGTCATCATTAACGCCATCGTCATCAACAGTACAGCCTACGTCTACTCACCCATCATCATCATCATCATCATCGTTGCTTGTTTGTCATACAACGCCATCATCATCATCATCACACTCAACATCACTGTCATCACATTTTACCTCATCACAATCAGCACCATTCCAATCAGCACCATCACAATCAGCACCATCACAACCACCATTACTCCCCTCCCTAAAAGACTTAGACAATACCTCGGGTATTCTTCACGTGTACTATCTGCTTATCGAAGGTATTGTGAATTAGTTATCTGATTAATATTCATTTTATGCTAATTAGCTTATCAGTATTTATTTGTGTTAGTTACCACCATGTTTATTTTATGTTAATTTTAGTTAGGCGAAATGAGTTTTTGGCTAGAATGATTGCAGACTGAATTAATCGTTTTGAGAAATTATTATTGTTTAGTTCATCAAGTTGGTGTGACAATAATAATATTATGTTGACTCGTCCATTTGTGGATGGATTCTTCATTGTGGATAAACTTTTCATTGCTTCATCATCTATGGATACACTTTTCATCGTAATGACCATTTATGGATTAAATTGTCATCGTCTGGACGAAGGTCTGACGACAAGCATGTTGGAAAGCAGGAAGGAGCACCAGCCACGAATCTGCGAGGTCCTCTTCCAACTCATCAAATACGCCTCCTCCAGTCCTGGTGCGTTTCCGCGCTGGTATGGTGTGGTGACGATGGTGGTGATGATTGTGATTACATCCTGATGATAATGATTAATTTGCGGTGATGATGGCGATGATGATGGCGATGATGATGTCTGGTGTACAGCGACGGCTGAAATATTCAGTTGTTGTTCTTTTACGTTTAGAGTCTAATGATATCTCCATTCACCTTGCTACCAGCTCTTTCGTGTTTTCAGATTCGTCACTCACTTATATTTTCCAGTTTCCATCATCTAACGTTCACTCATTCATCTATTTTTTCACTCATTCGTTCATTTTTTTTCATTCATTCATTCATTCATTCATTCATTCATTTGTCCTTCCAACCATCATTTGATTGACAGGTCCACGGTTTTCAATCTTCTGCTTCAATAACTTGTTGATGCCTGCGTTGCACTCCAGCGTCAGCAGTGGCAGCAGCTTCAGCAGCGGCAACAAATGTAATGTGACTAAGTACTGGAACCTTTCAGCGACATCCAACTGTCGACACTTGACAGGACTGTGTGTGGACGTCGTTGTTGACTTCATAACGCGATTCATTGGTGGGTCTTGTGGTGTTTCTTTGTTTTCCTGCTGGCGACGTTCGTGTTTATGACGGTTGAAGTAGTAGCAGTTTATTAGTAAGGATGATGACGTGGTGTATGATTACGAAGACGAGGTTGTGGATGACTTTGATGGTGAGGAAAATGTTGCAGTCTAGGATTGTCGTCATCATCATCACCAACATCATCAAACCTTTCTCACTCTACCTAACATCACCCACCCATCACATTTCGCCCCAACCACATCACCACACGTCACATACCCACTCATCTTACCATCACCACCACCTCCTCCCACGCAGACAACCAGTCCCTGCACAACGACCTTGAACTGATGCTAACTCGCCAGTTGATGGTTCTACTAGACTTCGTCGCTGAACCCTTCGAACCAGTGTCCAGACTCGGTTGCTCATGCATCAGGTGAGATGAGGTGTTCAGGTTGAAAGAAAAGGTTTTTTTAATTTATTTGTTTGTGTTTGTTCGTACCTGTTAGTGTTTGTTCGTACCTGTTTGTGTTTACTTGGTTATCGGCGGATTTTCATTTTCACTTTTTATTGCTCATTATAAACTTCTCAGTCGTCGTTAGCTGATTATTTAGAGCCACTTAATTTGTCCTCCTCAGACACTGCCTGGTCAACTGCGGTCCCCTCCTAACTCGCCGCATGTGGTCGTTAGTTGTATCCACGCTGAGGAAGGCCTGTGACGTCACTCTGTATCACCTGAGGTGCCTCATGCTCCCCTACCACAACCACAGCGATAGTTTCTACGGCGATGAAGGTCAGGTGAGGGTCGCCATCGGGCGGGATAAGATGGTCGTCATGGAGAGGAAGCGCCTGCTGCAGTTGAGTCAACAGGTCGCCGTTCATTCCTCGACTGCTCGATCGTGATTTTTTATTTTTGTTTTATTTTGGTTTATTTTTATTAAGCTTTTTATTATTTATCGATTCAATCACCTTTTCATCCATCAATCACCCAATCCATCCATCCATTGATCCATCCATCCATCCATTCGTTCAACCAGGTTTTCCTACTGAACGCGCAAACTCAAGAGCCGAAGAACACGCTGACTCTGTGCGAAGACAAGAAGAGCATCGTCCTACTCATCCACTCACCTCACTCACTCACTCGGGGAGATGTCTCCATTGCCAGGTGGCTAGCAGCACGTGTCACTCACTGCATGTCGCATGTTTCCATACTCTACTATCGAACATTCACTATCATCATCATCTGACTCGAGTTCTCATTATAAAGTAACCCTATTAAAATCAAAACACGCGAACTGTTGATCCTATGCCTCCAACAAATTACATCTCTCGAATTGAAAGAATAAATAATAGTAATAATAATAATTGATAGTGATAATAATAATAATTATAATAATGATAATAATAATTATTATTATTATCATTATTATAAATAATTTCCAGGATTCCATTCCAGGACCTCATTATAAGCCTGGCCAGCCATCAGATGCTGTTGCACCTCATTGGCACCCTCCTCCTCAGCGGCACCAGCAACTTGGTGCCCCTGGAAAGTACCATGCTGTCTGAGGGGGCCTCAACCTTCAACGAACATAAATCTAATTTCGAAGATAAACTGCTGCCTGGTTAGAGCGGTTCCATCGTCGTTATAATTTTTTCATCCTTCATTCATCATTATTAGCCAACATCAAATTATTATTATCAAATTATTATTATTATTTTATTATTATTATTTTATTATTATTATCATCCTACTTGAAGGAACTGCATGTAATTCGTGTTATTGTTAAGAGTAACGACGGATGTACTTTTTTTATTTCTTGCCAAACCAGCTCGTCAACAAGTCCAGGTCACCCTCTTTAGCCAGCAATCCTATAACGAACCCTCATTACATTAGACACCATCGCGACCCATCTCATCATCACCATCCACAACTCATTATCCTCAGTTGGAGAATTATCATCACCGTCGTTACTTTCTTCACAATCCATGCCTCTGTCATTCCATTCATCTTTCTATCAGCAAAAATATTAATCACATTATTGTGATGATGATGACGACGATAAATATGATGGTGATGAATAGGATGATGATGGTGACGACGACGATAATGATGATGTTAATATTGGCAATACTATTGACGGTATAAATAATAATAAGAATAATAATAATAATAATAATGGTAATAACAATAGTAATAATGAGTAACGATGATGATGTAGGAATGATGGAGCACATGTCATCATCTGACGTCATTGGACTCTTGAAATGCCTCGAGCTCTCCTCAGAAACGTCGAACCAGTTCGATTCAAAGCCGGGCTTGAAGTTTCTCATACAGAAGATTATAGGAGTTGACGTCTCGGCTAATATGTTCAAGTTAGTTGATTGAGTGTGATTGGCTGGTTGATAGGTTGGTTTGGTTGGTTTGGTTGATTGGTTGTTGGTTGGTTGGCTGGTTGGTTGGTTGCCTGTTGGTTTGGTTGGTTGGTTGGCTGGTTGGTTGCCTGTTGGTTGACCGGTTGGTTTGTTAGCTGGCTGTTTGATTAGCTGGTGGTTTATCGGCTGACATTATTACAATAGTCCCAGTGTAATTCACATTCGATCGCCGGCCATGACACGCAGACAAGCAGGTGTCAGCAGGACCCTCTACATCCACGCCCTCCTCGAGATCGTCTCCAGAGGAATCTTGAAATGTCCACCGACTGCTCCTGTTGCTTCATTGCCGGCCACATCGAGACACAAGACGACGACGACAACAACAGCAACTTCAACAAGATCTACCACGTCGACAGGATCCACACTAACAACTGCTGATTCTATCAATATTGCGGCTACCGTCGTTACTTCTGCTGCCACTAGTAGTGTTGTTTCTTTAACTGCAGATTATAAAGCCACTGCTACTTCAGCAAATGCTCCAAAATATTCATGCTCGACTTCAGATGCTGCAACATCGTCGTCGTCAGCATCATCACAGTTGTACGAAATAGCGAGTTACTCGAATCTAAGCGTGGAGCACTTTTACTGCGTTTTCATGAAGTTGTTGAAGAATGCACTGCTGAATGTTTGCAGTAGCTATGTTGATCTCTTTCTTAAGAAGGTTTGTTTTGTTTGGTGGGTTGGCTGGTCGGTTGGTTGGCTGGTTGGTTAGTTAACTGGTGGTAGGTTGGTGGATTGGCCGGTTGGTTGGCTGGCTGATTAGCCAAATATCTTGATGGTTAATTGGTTGATGGATGGTTCATAATTTTATTGTTGTTATATCAATAAAGTAATTAATTGTTCGTTGAGTGTAATAAGATATAGTATCAACTGTTTGCTAAGGAGGGGTCCAGTATATCCGACCAACTTTCCCAGTCCATCCTTGTTTTCCTTCCGCTGGACAATCCGGACGACCAAGCCGATGTCGTTTGCGACAAAAAGAGCCAGTCATCGTTCAAACACTTCGTTCCTCAAAAATGGCGGAAATCGTCGTCTTCGACCGCTGCGTCTGGAGCGGCCGTCGCTGGTAGCGGCTGTGGTGGTAATGAGGATGATGGTGATCACGGAGGAGCCACTTCGAAGTCGCGATTGAGTAGCAGTGGCGAAGGTGGGCAATTTAGAAGTACGTTTTCTTGTCGGTTGTTTGATTGCCTAGTTGATTGTTTGGTTGTCTGTCTGTCTGTCTGACTGGTTGGTTAATGATTTATTTACATTTTGTTTGTTGGGCCAGGATTCATAACTTATTGAATTGTATTCATATGAACATTCCCTAAACATACTCATCTCAACGTAGGCAGCAACAGTTTGAAAAGCATTGAATTGGTGGATCCCTCAGTGTTGGACACCCCTCGAAATCGGACCGACCGCGTGTACTCACTGGCTTCCGACCGTACCATCATTGGTCTGATGGGGGAATACAGGAGACGGAAGCTAACGAAGTGCATGCCTCCCCCGCCCCCACCGACGCTATCATCAGTATCGACACCCTCATCATCATCTTCTATGACATCACTTCCGTTACCATCAACAGCAGCATCAGTAGGACGGAAGAACTCTGCTGTGAAGAAAGATCTGCCCTGTCATGCTGCTGCAGACGACCATGGTCATCCGGTCAGCCGTCGAAGTACCGCAGGTGATGATGATGATGATGATGATCTCTATGGGATCACTCGCGAACAGAAGTGTTCTTACATGAAGGTTGGTTGGTCACTTATTTATCCCCATGCATGCATATTGCATATACAATACACCAAACACCAGAGATAGAAGCCAAATAGTCAACACTCACCACTACAAAATATGACGCAGAGGGATAATTATGATGGAAGTTGATGATGGAGATGATCTAGCAACACGCTCCCCTTTACAGTCCGAAACAATTTGGACGGATCATTGAACCACGCTAGGATTGATAGGGAAAAGTTTGATGAGAATCCTGAACGGAAACAAGTGGAATGACTTCTATTCGAAATGAAAATGCATAATTATTTTGGAGAGGATGTCAGGTGGTGGAAGAGAGAAAGTGCTTCAGAGTTTCAAGAGCATTAGAAAAGTCAAGAGCAATTGGATGGACTTGATCATTATTGTTTCTGGAGAGAGATATTATTGTAGGGATATCTAGTCAGTATATCAAAACTTGCACGCACATGTACACACACATAAACGTGTACACACACACACACCCACACACACATAGACACACATACACGTGTACATACGCACACACTCACACATTCACACACACACACAGGACAGCGTAGCTCACTTGAAATCAAGCGTAGAGACCTTAGTGAATGTGCTTCAATTGTACAACCAATTAAATGACAGAACATACCACGCCCTCCTGCCCACATTCCAGCCTATCATCGTTCAGTTGGTCACTCACTCTGTGGACCCCCAGCTGAGGAGGGCTCTGGGGCAGTGGTGTGTCAGGGTGGGACTGTTATTTGGGTTTGATGGTTAATTGGTTGGTTGGTTAGTTGATTGATTGATTGATTGATAGATCGATTGATCGATTGATCGATTGATCGATTGATCGATTGATTGATTGATTGATTGATTGATTGATTGATTGATTGATTGATTGATTGATTGATTGATTGATTGACTGATTGACTGATTGACTGATTGACTGATTGATTGACTGATTGATTGATCAACAGATTGATTGATCAACAGATTGATTGATTGATCAACAGATTGATTGATTGGTGTATTTTAGTAATTGATTTATTAATTGGTTTATAAATATTACTGATATGTTTGTTGATTGATATGATCAGTTAAAGGCTGGATTCGTACCCAATT